ACGTGACAATATTTAAACATTCATATATGAGCAAAAGCTCACAGCGAATTCCTCCTCGATGCCGAATACAACAGTTCGCTCGACTTTACGAAGGGCTCACAATTATTTTGGAATTGAATAGCAACAAACAAATTCCGAAATATAAATTTTAAGTATTTCCGAGTTTGACGTGACGGTCAGATTGTATTTATAAACTAGAATGTTTGTAGCTTAAAGTAAAAACCTTTCATTTTTGTCCTTCTCCCTCCGCCATCTTGAAAAGACCATTCGTTAGCGAGTACACGACAGTGTATAATCCTCATTCGACAGTAGATATTTTTTTCATTATGTCGCTTTTTTTTTTTTTTTTTAAATGCTACTTCCTTTCATTTACACATGTGAAAAATAAAGCTTTGAATTTATTTTAAATGTTGATTTTATTGTCCGAGAGTGTTGTCTTTTTATCATATGTACTCCACCGAAGACAATATACACGGTATGCCATGAAATGTCGGCTGATATCTGCACCCACGGGCAGAAGCTCTGTCATGAGACCACGTAAAGGGGGAGTAACCCCGTCACGAGAGTCGACATGAGCAGTACGGTATGCCTGCCATTAAATGTCTGTTGATGAAAAAAAAAATCCACTTTCTACAAAGCGAGAAATTATTTATTCTCTTCAGGGGCTTAACGTCGTCTATTACAGCTATCGGCCTTTCAGCAGACGAGCAAAGATAGGAAAATTAGATTAACAAAGTGGAAAAACTCTTAAAACTGCACGACTTACCAACTTGAGAGAATTTTGTAACGATTCTGGTTTCGATGTCCGCCTCATCTCTTGAAAATATTTGTGATACGAACTTGTCTAACTCTTAAAATATCTTAATACGTCCACTCTTCACCGGTATACCACACAGGCACCTTTATCGAGCGAGTTGGTCGTTATCAGACAGGACACCATTTTAAGTCTCGTCCGACAGATTGACTGTTAGTGGTTATAGAGTGCTCGTTCTATGATTTCTTACTTTTGGTGTCCATTACTAGGTCAGCTTTCCGTTGTCATGTGAACTTTTCTGGTTTGCAAAGTTACTTCCTTCAATAATCTACACGGATTCTGGTCAGTTGTTGAAAAGGTGATTTTTCACAACTCTGCTAATTTTTGGTGCGGAAAGTATATATATGTTAAGAGTTATTTTGTTTTTTAGGTTAGGGTTTCAACAAGGGAGTGAAATGTGTAAGGCATGCTGGACCAGAAGAGGCGAGAAGGGAAAGGGTCGTATTTCATAGGATTGATGGATCACTATATTGAATATTGTGACATGCATGAGTGATGTAGACGGTTTGATGGTGTTGGTTGAGAGGAGAACTGACTAATTTATGTGTACATTTATAGCAACAATCATTCCGCTAGGCCCTCCAAGGGAAATAAAGTTGTTGATCATGAGCATGTTCTTCCATTTTATTTTTTCTTCTAAAGACTAACATACAAAACAAAACAACAAAGTATCTAGATTGGCGGAGATTGTTAATTTAGAAACAAATGTACCAAATATCCGGAATTAAACCTATATATAATTTGAATTCTGAAATTATTTATATAGATTTTGATTGAGCTATTTATGCACTTTCCACGTCTGCTTAACAGGAATACAACATCCCAGCCCCCCCCCCCCCAAAAAAAAAAAAATCAAGATTGAGATGTCAATTTTACTTTTTTAAGACATGGAAAATGCAAGAAGAGCAAGTATGAAAAATTGAAAAAAGTAGATTGATCTTATACATACAAGGACCAAGTAGAATTCTTACGAAATCTGTTTTGGATATACATTTACAGAGTGACTAGAAATTTGTTAACATATTATATAAATGCATCCTGATAAATCTCACAAGTTCCCACAGACAATTGTCCAAACTTCATATCTGTAACAACAGTACAGCAGTGGGCAGTAGTGTACAAATCCATAATAAAATTTCAAAAATTATTTGATCATATAACAATACTTCAAATCAAACATTTTCACTCCATTTTTTCCAGTAGATTGCACATAATTGAATGGCGCTCTTTTCTTAGGAGTCGTTTCAAACCATACCTGAATTAATATAAGATACAAACACCAATATAGATAGAACGTTGTGTACCATGGCCAGTGGTAGATATATACATTGGAAAATATCAATGTTGGCAGTTACAACCATACAGGTAACCGCGTAAATGCCACATAATCTTACGACAAAATTATTTCTGGCATGTATACATACTGATTGTATGAGATGTAAACAAGGTACATAAGTCAATAAACTAGTAACAACATGGGGGAGAAGTCGATTTATGTAAGTGTAAATTGGTACCTGTAATCAGTCAAAGAATCCCGAAGGAAATAATTCATGACATGTAAATAATCAATAAACAATAATTGAAATGTAAGGTTTGTTGTTTCATAAACTATTATAACCAATGAAATCTGGATCTAACTCATAATCAAAAGCCCGACAGTGAAATCAATCTCTGGAATACTAATTGATGAACAGGAAATTATTTACAACAGTTTATTACACACACTATTCAATCAACAAGAATCATACATATGAATCCAATTCAATATTCAAGTTTAATAAAACTTTTTAAAAAATGATTATAATTTGAATACTGGAAACTGTCAAATTGTGCTTATCGTGAATTACAAAAATATCATTTACTATGGCAACATAAAAAAAATTTCAATTCATTCAACTTAAAAAATCAATGAATCATTACTTATACATATGAAAAAAGGAATTTTTAAATCAATAACGAATCAATGAAAATCATAAGCCGATCGATGCAGCAAAATATAAGGTATATACAATGAAAAGGGAACCAGAAATGATAAATTGGATTCCACAAAAGTGAAACTAGGGATTGTTTAATTCATATTATAATACTGCATATAAATTTGTAATGAAAAGATCATGTCAGGTAAATTTTAACAACGTGTTCTACTAATGTCCTTTGGAGGTACATGTATATAAACTAGCTATATTTGATATAATGAAAATAATCTAAATTTTCGCAATCTTTGGAGGATTTTTCAAACATTTTCTAGGGCATGAGAATTGAGAGCCTGGGGTTTAAGCCACATGGCATTCTGTGCAGGTTCTGCTCGAAACTGAACCAAATATTCCAAATTTTCTTTGTGCAAGAATACGTTTGATTTTATAGAACGCAATGTCTGAGGTTTCTGAGGAGGTGAAAGTATCCAAACTAACAAAACTAGAGTCACAGTAACGAGAGGGTGCAGGATTTCCTGATCTGACGAAGATATCTCATGTGTAATAGCAGAAAACCTGGATGTGACAGTGCCAAAGAAGCCTGGAGTATGAACATCGGAGGCACTATCGGAGGGCAATCCCTGATTCACATGTACTGAATGATCCTCGGTCTGTACAGACTGATCTACTTTTACATTAGACACAATGCGAAAGCAATTGGTAGGTGTTTGCGAATGAATATGAGCAGCTTTGAGTCTGTCATTATGTACTGGATTATGGTGAGTCTTCCCATAGAGAGGCTCAGATAGCAATACAAGATGTGAGGATAGAACTTCCTTGACAACCATAACATCAGAATAAATGTTCTGCAGTTTTTGTCCTATATCTGTTGGCTCTTTCTGTCGATCGACATAATCTCCTGCTTGGAGTTTCTCATGGTTTTTCAAATTTGCTTTCAGTTTCGACATGTCAGTCTGTGAAGGAGAAATATTTTCAGATATGTGAGTGTGAACGAGTTACAAGCGTTTCTGTAGGTCGGAGACATACGCATACTGTGGTAAGATCAGATGATATATGTGACAATGGAAAGGTTGGGCGTTGGCCAAACAGGATTTCAAAAGTGAGTATTAAGTTGTCCGGTTTGTAAACAGCAGCATTCATAGAGAACACGATAGATGGCAAGATTTGCTCCCAATTAGCTTTAGTCTTAGTCATGTATGGGGTAAGTGTTTTCAGCTAAGACACGGTAGGTACGCTCACAAGCTCCTAAACATTTGTGGACAAAGCTGGGAGTGAAGTTCTGCTGGATTTGGAGCAAACGGCAAGTTTCCTGTTTCGCTTTCGCAATAAATTCGGAACCGTTGTCAGACACCTAAGTATCGTATACCCCAAATGTTGTCACTAAGTGGTAGATAGCCATTCCAAGTATCAATGCGTCTGAATAAGCAATGGAACAGGTCCAAACGTATTAAGAAAACATGTCAATGGATGTAAACACATAGGAATAACTCGTAGGTAGAGGTCCGTGCAAGTCAATCTGGGTCAAATTGGGTTTTACTAGGATTTGATTTGGGTTTGATATTTGTTGTTGCTTATACCCTATAGTAACATAGTTTACGTAGGAAATATCTGTGCGAAACCTCTTGGTCATACAAAATCCATACTATCACGCAGTTGGTCTACCTTGATTACAGGCTATGTTTTGGGTGAAGGGGTTGAGGAGAGATTCGCAAGAGCGAGCAGGACGCAATCCAGATTGTGCAGGTTGGAATCCATAGTATCATTCATTCATATATATTTATGTGTGATTACATATGGACCTGTAGCTTAACTGTGAATTAAGTATACAATATTAAATTGCATGTAACGTCGAAAGTCTTAGTGATAACACATGTACCGCGAATAACACAGTTTGGAAGTTCTCAAAGCACATGTACTGTATGTAGAGTGTACCCATTACATTACATAGCATTACATTGCATAATGTATAGTAATGATTTGACAATTCAAGTGCATTTGCTCCTGACGGAAAGAAGACTTCGCTGAGCATTTCATATAAAAAATATATGACTGGCTACGCTACCATTTTTAATATGAACATTGTAATATATGAGTTATTGTCTGTACTAGTAATCGCATCCGTTCCTGTCTTAATGCCCAGTAGTTTAACGCTATCGTAATTCTTTTAAAAATAGATTACTTTCGGTTTCATTTCGAGGCTCATCGGAAGTTGATTCAGACGACGGGACGGAAAGACGTCTCGTACATTTTTAATCAGAAAGTAGAAATGCAATGTGTGGAGTTTTAAAGATGAATTTGTGGGTAAAATATCGTCTTAAACAGCAATTTGACGACAAAAAGGTAGGGAGAAACTCAAACGGTATATCAGAACATATCACAGTGCAGCTCGAGACCGCCAACGCTTTTAACAGACAACAGTGTGATGTAAACAAATGAAAATTAGTATGAAAATAAAGATTTCTACTCGCATATAGGATCGTAGTTAATTCCTGATACACTTTTTACAGAACAGTTAGATTAATTTCTAATAGATGCAGTAATTTTTACCATTTTTATCGCGACGTTTAACAGTTTACTGGTGACATATAATGCTAGCATGTTTCTTCATAAATTGTTCAGTAATCTGCAATCAAAAACAATCACAAACACACGCGCACTTATATAAATATATTTATGAACTTCTTGATCAGTTAAGTTAAGATTGTATTTATAGTTGCATTTATTATGATAGGAACAAGTGAACAGCTTGTAATTAACTTAATCAACAAAACATGATTTGAAGATTTGGTTTTATTGCAGTGTTATTAAATGATGGGGAAACAAAAATGTTCACACTGTCAACTCTATAAACTAAAGCGTTACATCAAGGAGGACAGACCCTCTCGCATGAGGTCATATGTAGCCAAGCATACCATTGACCTCTCAACTGTAGAACTCTCCAAACGCCGCAATCTTCTCCACTATTGTAGTAAATATGGACTTGGTGGTGTGTGTCGGTGAGTTTGTTGTTACATGATAGACATGGTTCATAGTGAGATACTGTGAATGTGTTAAATATCATGACCTTGTGATAAAGGGATATAAGCCCATTAGGTGTCTTATTTAGATTAATGAAAAATATTACTCGGATCACCTTGTATTGTCATAGTGATAAGAATCCATTCCAGTTTCATTATTGTTAATTGAACGTAATTTTATTATTGATTGCAATCAATTTCATGCACCATCTGGAAAAAAGTTTAAGCTACTTGTCTATTTCTTTCATTGATAATTTTGTAAATTTTAAAATCATTGTTTTTAGAAGCTTTCAATCTATTTGTATTTTCTTTTAATTGAATCCCACTGATCCCTTTCAAGGGTGCTAGCTGTAAATTACTGGCAATGAATTAACATTTTTACATAGGAAACACTCTTGAACTGTACATTTCTTATGTCTCTGAATCATTCATGATATATGAATCAGTGATCTTTGCAATTTTTGTTGCATTTAAATGGTTTCATTACCATGATCTATTATTTTTCAATAATTTTCCATTATCTGTCAATCATGATAATGTCTGTTGTTTAAGCCTTGTAATGAAGGCTGAGTTATGATGTTACAGGTATTTACTAGAAGTGGGTGTGAATCCCTATAGTACAGATGAAGATGGTAATACACCCGTACACCTAGCTCTCCATCGGGCACTCAAGGAATCATGCACCAATGTTCACACAGGTAAGTAATAGAGTAAACTCTGAACTGACCATTCACTGGATATTTATGTAAGCATGGTAAATACTAGCCACAAAATACTGCTCTTTAGCTCGAATAAGGACCAGTTCTTTCCTGGAGGAGGATTATGTAACCCTGGTAAATACTATAAGCAGTATATCGCTGGGCGTGAGAGAACTTCTCTTTAGCTTGATTGGTTTAGCTGAAGACTTGTAAGGCTGAGGTTCCAGCTTCCAATCCTAATGAAGGCATTGAAATGAATGTTGACTTCTGTTACATTTGTCTAGTTGAGGGAGGTTTTTTATCGATCAATGTTCTGATATAAAAACATAATCATATTGGTTTCTGTTTTATGTGTAGTTTCCTGAAGCAAAAGTAACTTCCTTGAATCCTCATGCAAATTAGATATGAAAGTATTAAAAATATATCTAAAAAGATGACTTAAAGTGGTTGGAATGTGTAGTAGTAATCATATAGATATTGTATGCAAAATTTATCTACAGTGAAACCTCACCTAACGACCACCTCAAAATTACGACCACCCCGCTATTACGGGCACTTTTTTTCAGTCCCGTTTTTTTCCACTATATATCTTTGTATTGGTCGCTTCAGTATTGCGACCACCCCGCTATTCCGTATTACGACCACTTCCTACAGTCCCAACGACCACTTATTAACGATAATGTGATAGTGACCACAATATCTGTTATGTATTACATATTTGTTACAGTTTATAATGAAGTGATCCTGCCACAGCTAGAGAAATGTCCATTTCTGACTGAAGAGGTTGATGATTATGGGACAAGCTGTAGGGATCTGTTAGACCGACTTGTGGAAAAACAACAACGTCAGAAATCATCAAACCAGGAAGTACTGTTTGAAATTTTAACACTGATTACTAGGGGGAAGGGTTGTGGTTGTTGTTGTTTGAGTATGGAGAAAATGTTGGGGGCTTGGGCGGGGGGAAAGAGGAAGTTATGATATTTTTAGGGTTTTGCAGGTAGGTTGGTCATGTAAGAATAAGAAAATGGTGGATATGTGGCCATCTTGGATAGGGATATTTGTAGATTGCTAATACAATTTCTGTTTTCAATTGTTGTTTCCCTTGTTCATCAAAGCTACCATATTATATATTCAGCAATCAGCGAAATATCCACCTTAATGTAACAACAAAGATCATACATTGGTGGAAACCAAGATCCCTTTGGGATTTCTTGTTAAAAACCATTTATAACAATTATGAATAGAGTTCATTACAGAGTTCTGTTAAATAGTAAGCAATTGTTCATGGTGTACTGTATCATAGTGCATGAAAAGTATGACACAAAAGGTTGAATAAATATTTTTGTAATTATATTATTTTTCCTTTGGGCAGTTTCAGACATGGTTTGAGGCACCAGAGACAGTCGACTGTTCTTCTCCATCAGAACATGAATGGCAACAAAAGATTTTCCAGGAATATCACTACGAGTGTGAGCAAGAGGGCATGAAAATCAAAGTCTCTGGTAAGTTTTTGTGGGCAATAGGGTGTGAAAATCAATGTTTGTAATAAGTTTGTTTGAGCAGGTTATGAAAATCAGAGTCACTGGTTTTTAGGTCTCCTGACAATAGATCAAGATTATGGTGACCTATAGGGATTGTTGTTTGTCTGTCGATATGCATTAACTTTTTCTTGTGAGCACAATAACATGAATACCTGTATATTTGAACTGATTTTGAGTAAACTTGTGTTATGTAGACTTGTATCAATATTCAATAAGATCTTGAGTTTGACAATGGCACCAATTTGATGGTAATTCACAGAGTTATGGCCCTTTGTTGTTTTACTATCATTGGACCTTGTGAATAACATACCTTAAGTACATATGTGCAGATTTTGATGAAACTTGGTGTACAGCTTTATATCAATAAGATTTTATATGAGTTTGAAAATGGAATTGATTCATCAAAATTTACAGATGATGGCCTTTTGCAGTTTTATTACCATGGACCTTGTTAACTTGATAAATTGAGTAAATATTAGGTTTAAATGAAACTTTTCATGCAGACTTATATGAATAGGATCACAAAAGAGTTTGCCAATGGAACTGATTTGATTATATTTTACAGAGTTATGGCCCTTTGCAGTTTTATTACCATGGACCTTGTTCACTTTATAACTTGAGTGAATATTTGGTTTTAATGAAACTGTATGCAGCCTTATATGAATAGGATCACAAAAGAGTTTGACAATGGAACAGATTTAATTACATTTTACTGAGTTATGGCCCTTTGCACTTTTTGCAGTTTGAGATTGTTTGAGATTAGTTAAGTGACTCTTAAGGTCCGTGAGCCTCTTGTTGTGAGAAGGAAAGTTTTAGATTGAAGGGCTTTAGTTTGTTTGTACAAGTAAAGTCAGGCTGTCAGGTTTTATTTCAGGTAGAGGACTTTCTCTATATCTAATTTACATAAAGTGACTGAAGGTGTCCAGTAACTCAGTTCTGGTGAAAGAATGTAAAGTCAGTCTCTTGTAATTTGGATTGGGTTATAGGGTATGAGATTAAACTTTTATATACTTTAAAATGAGGTTATGAATAAGAAAGTGTTGATATTAAAAATATTCACTGCAAGAGTTTTACTTAGATCATCAAATTATCTTTAATTCTAATCATAAATGTACTTACAGATAAGCTTAACCTGTTTTAATTGATTATTTACAGAATACTTTGAAGGAGATTTTAATGAGGAGACCTATGATGAGTGGTGTGAGAGGATGGCCAGGGAAGTTCATAACAAACGTAAATACAGTAACACCGGCCAGAGATCTAAAGAAGAGCCCAAAAACAAGAAAACTACAGCAGAGGAAGATTTGGAAAAAGCTCGCGAAAAGATGAAACAGAAATATGATGATGAACAAAGGAGAATTAAGGAATTACGAATCAGACAGAAAAAACAAGACTATGAGGAAAATATTAAGACTTTACTTTCAAGTAAAGATGTAGAACTTATAGGTTTTAATGACATTCCATGGCCCTTTGAGTCAGAAGTAACAGATATCAGTAAAAGACTATTCTGTGACATAGCTCCATCAGATAAGGAGACATATCGGAAGTATCTCCGGGAGCAACAAATCAGGTGGCATCCCGACAAGTTTCTCCAAAAGCTTGGACACCGCATCAAGGAAGAAGAAAAAGACTGCATTTTAGAAAGAGTTAAAGAAATATCACAGGAACTCAACAAGCTGTTTGACTCATCTTAACGTTAGTCTTTTTAGCCACATCATTAGAGTATACAGGCCCAGGGTAGTTGTATGGCAATATGTTAGTGTAGTGTAAAAGGACTGGGTCAATATGCTTGTAATTAACTGTCAAATAAGGTCTACATAACTGTAACACCGCTGACAGGGCATACTTCATTGGCTCAGTTAGCAGAGCCCTCGATAATCATGCAGTACAATATGGTGCAATATCTCTCTGCAGGTATAAGATTTCACAGTTCTATTACAGTTGTACAATTTTGTTACCACATTGTAAAAGTATCCCAGGTAGTTCTGTGGCTCAATGTTACTAGTACAGCTTTGTAGCCACATTGTAAGGGTGCAGTTATGTGGCTATGTTTGTAGTAAATCTCTGTAGACACTTTGAGTATACTGGGTAGCATAGAAAAAGCATGATCCTGTGTGAAGGTATCTTGTAAGAAACACAATGACTTGCAAGAAAATTAATGTTTTTGGTTAGCTCAACATCATAAATGTATGTGTGTGTTGTATGAAAATGTGCTTCATAACTCAATGTTTTAATTAGAATTCAGCATTACTAAACATTTTACTGTGAAACAATTTGTGTTGTTTTATTTTGTTAAAGGGGACACACTATTTACCTTACCATTCTCACCACTTTAAAGATGCTTTGTTGAGATTGTTGGACTGATGAACTTTTTTTTATTAACTGATTTCTTGAATGTATTACCATTGAATTAAGGTATGACCAAAAAAGTTACAGCCATTCAAAGCCAGACCTGTGGACCTATGCCATGGTGCAGCATTGTCTATCAGCTTCATCTAAAAATTAGTACCAGTCATGAATCACTCAGCCAGACTTTATCCAAAGCATTTGGGGAAAGGAAACTAATATTATATAAAAAGTGTCTAGAGAAGTGGGGCTCAGTATGGGGAAATTATGTATCAATTACAATTCTTCTTTAGAGTAATAGGAATTTGACAAAATTTGGTTTGAAGAATTAGTGTATGAAAGGGAATCATTTTTGTATGAGATGCCGGTCAGGCTCTGAAGGCAGTAATTATAATTTTTACTGGATTTCTTGTGGTGAGTCCAGAGCACTATTTTCAAAATTTTGACAGGTTCATTTACAAACAGATATACATAGTGGTTCTTTAAGTTTGAGCAAGTCCCACAGGAAACGCATGAGTCTAAGACTCAAATATTTTAATCCCAAAATCACATAGGGAAAGAGGAGCAGAGCCAAGGCGGGGAAATTGGAAAAACTTTTAAACTCCTTCAGCTGGGATGTAGGTATTCAAATTTTATGTGAAACATCCTCAGGTGATGGGGACACAATTTTGTATGAACAGTGGATCTAAACATTTTGGGGCAGATGCGCGAGGGACGGGCCAGATAAAGGAAAATTTGCATATAATCTGAAATTTTCTGGTGAGAATGACAGGATTTTTTTCCAAATTAGATATGAAGCAACCTTGTGTGAAGGGAAATCAGTTCTATGTATCAAATGGCATAGGGGTGAAGCCAAGTAGGGAAAACTGGAAAAACCAAAATCTCCACATGATGACCAATATCAGAGTAAAATCATCTCTTCAGATTCTGAAAAACTAAAAATGATGGACCTACTAATAAATACTAAAAAACTTCAATACATTGCAAAAACAATAATTTATTAAATATTATATCCTGCAATACAGTGTTAGTATTTTATTACTTCTCTGAAGTCTTAATGATGATACAATAAAATATTCCATAGCTTCTGATCAGATTTCAGTTGATTGGCACAGGTTTGATGAATTTTGTAAAGATTCCTGTTGCAAAAATATTACTGTCACAGTATGGTCACTTCTGTAAAATTTCTTCTAGTTTTAATGAGATGTGGTATCATGATTTAATAGCCTCTGTTGATTCTTGTAGTTTAGTTATGGACTTAGTGATGTCCTCTCCAAGCTGTTGTAAACTGTTGTATTTGTCCTCCAACTCTTTTGGAGCCTGAGTCAGGATCTTGTTGAGTCTTACCAGCTCTAACGTATCTTGGAAAGACTTATCTACTTCCTCTGTAACACATGTCACATCAACACCTTCTGCCAATTTATCATTGGATGACTTTTGGTCCAAAGGCGATAACTCCATAAAAGATTCGATCATTGCAATATTGCTGTTACTCAAAGCATCTGAAATTACAATTGCAAAACTATTTGTAGCCAGTATTTTACATGAGAAAGAACCACAAGAGCGGACGAACAAAAAAAATCACTATATAAGAAACAAAAACATTAACCCACTATAAACAACAAGAGGCCTAGCGGCCTTGATGGTCACCTGAGGCAAGCAGTATTGAATATAAAGGTTAAAGGGTAGTTATCAAGTGTCATGATACAGAAACTGTGATAATGAACATGGTAAGCCAGAGTCAATACATGCGAAACATAAAACTCATCCTATACTAAAAATTCTGATAAAGATAGTGGGAGATGACCAATGTTATGCTCAAAATGCAATTTTTCTATGAAAATTACTGTAAAGTTTAAAAAAAAGTACCTTTGTTTCTACCATACCTGAGTGTTGAGAAAAAGATTTAAAAAATTTTAGTCAATTTGAACTCTACTGGGCCTGCCCATCAGCCCCTTTGGGGTCAGCCAGGATAAATATGGACATATCGTCAAGCCGTCATCCTTCACTCATAATTCTTACCAAGTTTGAAATATTTCCAATGGAAATTAAACAAATTATGCTAAAATACTAGTTTTCCTATAGAAACTACAAAAATGAAATTCACAATTTTGGTAAAGCACCTGAAGATGCTTCCATTCGTGAAGAGTATTTGATTCTACCTTATCTGGATGTTGAGAAAAAGATTTTTGAAATCCGAGTCAATTTGACCCCTTTTGGCCCCATCCTGTGGGGTGAGAACAGTATAATTCACAATTTTGGTTTATCTTAGGCAAGGGAGGATTTCTCCAAAATTTCATTGAAATTGGATCAGGAGTTTTTGAGAAGAAGTAAAAAATGTTAAATTGTTTACGAACGATGCTGGGTGAAGGTAATCGTAATAGGTCACCATGAGACTTTTTCTCAGGTGACCTAACAAGAGGCCCATGGGCCTTAACGGTCATCTGACAAAAAGCAAGCCAAACCTAGAAAGTGGGTTGAGGTCATTCATTTGAACAAACTTGGTAGCCTCTCCTCCAAGCATCTTACAGGCCCAATATCAGCACTCATGGACTTTTGCTTGTTGAGAAGAAGTCGTTTGTATATTTTAACATATTTGACCCCTGTGACCTTGAAAGTGGGTTGAGGTCATTCATTTGAATAAACTTGGTAGCCTTTCCTTCCAGCATGCTACAGACCCAATATCGGCACTCATAGACTTTTGCTTATTGAGATGAAGTCCTTTGTATATTTTAACATATTTGACCCCTGTGACCTTGAAAGTGGGCCAAGGTCATTCATTTGAACAAACTTTGTAGGGCTCCATGCCAGCAAGCTATGGGCCAAGTATTAGCCCCCTAGGCCTTCTAGTATTTGAGAAGAAGTTATTTAAAGATTTTGACATATTTGACCCCTGTTGTTCAAGGTCATTCATTTAAATAAACTTGGTAGCCTTTCCTCCCAGCATGCTACAGACCCAATATCGGCACTCATAGACTTTTGCTTATTGAGATGAAGTCCTTTGTATATTTTAACATATTTGACCCCTGTGACCTTGAAAGTGGGCCAAGGTCATTCATTTGAACAAACTTTGTAGGGCTCCATGCCAGCATGCTATGGGCCAAGTATTAGCCCCCTAGGCCTTCTAGTATTTGAGAAGAAGTTATTTAAAGATTTTGACATATTTGACCCCTGTGACCTTGAAAGTTGTTCAAGGTCATTCATTTAAACAAACTTGATAGCCCTTCATCCCAGCATGCCACAGGCACAATATCAGCAATCTGAGCCTTTTGGTTATTGAGAAGAAGTTGTTTAAAGATTTTAACATATTTGACCCCTGTGACCTTTAAAGTGGGTCAAGGTCATTCATTTGAACAAACTTGGTAGAGCTCCATGCCAGTATCCTCTGTGCCAAGTATTAGCCCCCTAGACCTTCTAGTATTTGAGAAGAAGTCGTTTGAATGAAAAGTTTACGGACGGCGCACGGCGGACGACGACGGACGAAGCATGATGACTATAGGTCATCGGACCCTTCAGGTCAGATGACCTAAAAATCAATAATGCCTATGTGACTTGCTAAACAATAACATATCATGCCACATCAAAATGCATGTAAATTGTTTGTGTGCAGTCACGATCGTTCATACTTACTATTTCCAGCGAGAAAAACCACGTCGTTCTCAGAAGCATTTTCAACATCCTGTTTCATATGTTCAAACGACGGTGGTTTGGGTCGTTCTTGTAATGTCCCTGACTTCGACATGATTATCAATGATTTTGAAATTTCATATCTTTTATTAGTTTTGCTAAAAACAAAACAGGAAGTTGACACTTTTTCTACCCCCGAAACAGAAGATCATTTCCGATAGATAAACAAATATCGTTAACGCACTTGACTTCATGCCACCCAAGTCATCGCTAAGAAGCTGTAATTGATAACGCGATTCAGGTTATGTCACACGTGGGTTTGTTGATAGACGATCATAAAGATGACAGATCGAGAACTGCAACTAAACGTATTTTTAAAAGAATCTGAATCTTATAAAGACCCTGGTGTAAAGATACGGGTAAAACAATACTTTACGATATATAGCACTGTAAAATTGTGTCGTTTTTTTATACATAGTAACTAATCGGGTATTTTTTTTCCAGGAAGATATTTTGTATATCAACTTGTAGATTTTGTTTGAATGTTTGGTTTGATGTATCAACATCCAGAGTCATTTTGTGACGGGGCCTCCTTGTGGTATCTGGTGACAACCACATTGAACATTGGACAACTTGCGGGAGGCCCGTTGCATTTCAGCAGGAATTGTTTGGGATGGGGTAAAATGTCTTGTGAAGTAGATAAATTCAAGACTTTCAAATTGTTTTGCAAAGTTTTTATTTTATATATGTGTAACATGGTGAATTGTACATCATTTGTAATGAGCAGCATTTTCCTGTATATTGTTTTTAACAGTTTTGTTTTTTCTTTCAATCGATTCTGAGAGAAAATTCTCAATAACAAAGCATAACTTTATAGAAACTCGAGTATTGTAGTGAGTTCCTGGGGCTGCCTATAAGGACTACAGAAAGTATACATTTTGCTCAGTGAAGATGTTCTACACTACAATTCAAGCAACAATGGGATATATATTATGCTACACATACATATAACATATAGCTTATAGCCATGATGTTGAATTTTTCAGCGAAAAAAAGTTAAGCCAAATGTAAGAAAGAAAGGAAAAGGATTTTTCAATACATCTGTGACCAAACCAACACACGACAGAGTACAGAAAAATGTGGAATTCCAACAGCCTGAACAAAATGTGGATAATGACAACGAGAAGAAGGTACAGGAAGGAAAAGTCAATGAGACAGAAGGACAACAAGAGGGTCTCAAACGTAAATTATCACAGTCTGTAACAGATAATGATCCTGCTAATAAGAAACAGAAGACAGGTCCCATCATCTCCTCTCTCTTCACCTTCAACCCTTACATCCCACAGGTGGAAAGGTAAGTAGTCAAAGATCCCATTATGTTCAACCCTCACATCCCATAAGTGGAAAAATAAATAGTCAAAGATCCTATCACGTTCAACCCTCACATCCCACATATGGAAAGGTAAATAGTTAAAGATCCTATCACGTTCAACCCTCACATCCCACAGGTGGAAAGGTAAATAGTCAAAGATCCTATCACGTTCAACCCTTACATCCCACTGGTGGAAAGGTAAATAGTTAAAGATCCTATCACCTACAGCCCACCTGTCCCACAGATAGAATGTAAATAGCTACCTTACAAATTAATCATTGAAAGCAACAGATATAAATTCCCACAAATTTGCCTGTTTTCTTCACTTTAATAGGTAGATGTTCTTGATTCATTTCAGTGTGTCTCAGGATCAGATCAAGGAAGTCCTGTTCTCTTCCAAAACATTTAAGGACCTAGGCATCCATCCTCATCTGGTAAGCCAATAGATATAGTGGTTTCATGAATATTTTTGAGTGAGGGATTGTAAACTGATTTAGACAGAAATCTACTTCATACTCAATATTGCTATACTGATAATGAGTTTACTGTTTATAGATTAGCACTCTAGAAAATAAGATGGAGATCACACAGATGACCAATGTCCAGCAGAAGTCCATCCCCCATATAATGATTGGTGCTGACACACTGGTTAAATCACAGACAGGCTCAGGTTAGTTGAGGTCGAGTTACAAACTCATACAGGTTATTAAAGGTCAAGTTACAGACAGGTTTGGGTAAGAAGAGGTCAAATTACAGCATATACAAGTAAGTAGAGGCCAAGTTCCAGACATGCACTGGATAGCAGATGTCACATTTCAGACATGTACAGGTTAGTAGAGGTCAGGTTACAGGTAAGAAGAGGCCAAGTTACAGACATGTACAGGTAGTAGGGGTCAAATTGCTGATATGTATAGGAAAGAAGAAGCCAAGTTACAGACATGTACAGGTAGTAGGGGTCAAGTTGCTGATATGTACAGATAAGTAGAATATCTCCTAAAACAGTTGCTATGTCACCTGCTACAGTTATTTTAATTATATTTTGTCCTGCTTCAGTTGCTGTTTTATATTTTATATCTCTTGTTACAGTTGTGTAGTTAAACTACTACAGTTCAGATATAATCTTAAACTTAACAAACCTTAACCATTTGTATCTGTACATAATTTTCTTTTTGTGCATTTAAAGGGAAGACTCTAGCCTTTGCTGTTCCAATAGTCCAGGCTTTACAGAATCTGACTCCAAAGGTCAAACGCAGTGATGGCCCCTATGCACTAATAGTTGTTCCTACCAGAGAGGTGAGGTTCAAAATAGTGGATGTGTTCTTTCAGAAACTAACCTTGGAGGTGATGTCACTCAAGAGCTGTGAGAACTCGCCAGGGGGAAGATGTGAAGAAGAGAGGGAGGGGGATGGGGACAATCTAAAACTAATTTTCTGTCTGGTTATAAATAAGCATTATGTTTATTGAACACTGAACTAAAAATATAAATTTACAGTTGATAATTTACTAAGTTTCATTACTAAAAAAGTATAAGGAAAGCAAAAAGCTGTCAATATTACTAAACAATATAGATTTTCTCTGGATGATATTTCAGTTAGCTGTACAGTGCCTGAAGACATTTGAGAACATTCTAGCAGTAAGTATATGCCTGATACCTGTTGAACTTATGTGATTACATCTTCACTTTTTCCCAGATCTTTATTAAGTGCATCCAATAAATTTTTAAACTTAGGTTGACTTCAGGGGAATCAACACTTGTGACAATAATGTCATGTGTACAAGGTTGTATGTTGAGGGGACTCCACAGTTGTGACAATGATATCATGGGTACAAGGCTGTATATTTAAGGAACCCCACATTTGAGGTAATGATGGGGATACGTTGTATAGTTTTAATTATTAATTCAGTCCTATAAACAACACTAACAGTTGTTGGTTTATTTCTGTTAGAAGTTTCTCAAAAATATTAAATGTTTGGAAAAAATAGTCTTCCTTTCTTCTTTTTATTGAATCAGACTTCCTGTCTGGTCACTGGATAACCTCAGCATGTAAAAGATCCATATTCATTGATGTGAGTATGTCAAATTGATATTTCATTAATTGTCATTACAGCCGTTTAGATGGATTGTGCCAGGATGCATTATTGGTGGGGAAAAACGGAAAGCAGAAAAAGCCAGGTATGTTTTACACAGACTGAAGAAGGGTATCCACATCTTGATATGAACCCTCAGCCATACAGATATATATATAATATGTTATTTGTGTACACTCGACCATACTGAGATATATATATTATATGTTGTGTGTACCCCAAGTCATACTGTAGATATATTATTAGTTGTTTGTTTACCCTTTGAAATATTGATAAATATATTGTATGTTGTGTGTGTAGCCCAGTCATACTGATATATATATTATATGTTGTGTGTGTAGCCCAGTCATACTGATATATATATTATATGTAGTGTGTGTACCCCTGGCCGTACTGATATATATATTATATGTAGTGTGTGTACCCCTGGCCGTACTGATATATATATTATATGTTGTGTGTGTAGCCCAGTCATACTGATATATATATTATATGTAGTGTGTGTACCCCTGGCCGTACTGATATATATATTATATGTTGTGTGTGTAGCCCAGTCATACTGATATATATATTATATGTTGTGTGTGTAGCCCAGTCATACTGATATATATATTATATGTAGTGTGTGTACCCCCAGTCATACTGATATTTATATTGTATGTAGTGTGTGTACCCCCAGTCATACTGTAGATATATTATATGTTGTGTGTGTAGCCCAGTCATACTGATATATAATTTATATGTAGTGTGTGTACCCCCAGTCATACTGATATTTATATTATATGTTGTGTGTGTAGCCCAGTCATACTGATATATATATTATATGTAGTGTGTGTACCCCCAGTCATACTGATAGATATATTGTATGTATGTGTGTACCCCCAGTCATACTGTAGATATATGTACCCCCAGTCAGTGTGTGTGTGTACCCCCAGTCATACTGATAGATATATTATATGTAGTGTGTGTACCCCCAGTCATACTGATAGATATATTATATGTAGTGTGTGTACCCCCAGTCATACTGATATATATATTGTATGTAGTGTGTGTACCCCCAGTCATACTGTAGATATATTATATATTGTGTGTGTACCCCCAGTCATACTGATATATATATTATATGTTGTGTGTGTACCCCCAGTCATACTGTAGATATATTATATGTAGTGTGTGTACCCCCAGTCAGTCATATATATTATATGTCATACTGATATATATATTATATGTGTGTGTGTACCCCTGATAAATATATTGTATGTTGTGTGTGTAGCCCAGTCATACTGATATATATATTATATGTTGTGTGTGTACCCCTGGCCGTACTGATATATATATTATATGTTGTGTGTGTAGCCCAGTCATACTGATATATATATTATATGTTGTGTGTGTAGCCCAGTCATACTGATATATATATTATATGTAGTGTGTGTACCCCCAGTCATACTGATAGATATATTATATGTAGTGTGTGTACCCCCAGTCATACTGTAGATATATTATATGTAGTGTGTGTACCCCCAGTCATACTGTAGATATATTGTATGTAGTGTGTGTACCCCCAGTCATACTGTAGATATATGTAGTGTGTGTACCCCTGGCCGTACTGATATATATATTATATGTAGTGTGTGTACCCCCAGTCATACTGTAGATATATTGTATGTAGTGTGTGTACCCCCAGTCATACTGTAGATATATTGTATGTAGTGTGTGTACCCCCAGTCATACTGATATATATATTATATGTTGTGTGTGTACCCCCAGTCATACTGATATATATATTATATGTAGTGTGTGTACCCCTGGCCGTACTGATATATATATTATATGTAGTGTGTGTACCCCCAGTCATACTGTAGATATATTGTATGTAGTGTGTGTACCCCCAGTCATACTGTAGATATATGTAGTGTGTGTACCCCTGGCTGTACTGATAGATATATGTAGTGTGTGTAACCCTGGCCGTACTGATAAATATGTTTTGTTACAGATTGAGGAAGGGTATCAATATCCTGGTCTGTACCCCTGGCCGTCTCATTGATCATTTAAGGAGTACAGACTGCCTAAGTCTAAGACGAGTACAGTGGCTAGTTTTGGACGAGGCTGATAGGTAAGTCAATTAGTAGAAAGGAAAATGGAGTCAGTCTGGACCCTTTATCAACATGATGGATCTAATAGGGGTTGTCATTTGGATGGTTGGTGTTTGGTGTGACTGTAGGATGGTGGCTGTTGGGTGATGACTGTAAGATGTTGGCAGTTGAATGGTGGCCATAGGGTGGTGACAATTGGATGGTGGCCATAGGGTGGTAGTTGTAGGTGATAGCTTTGTGGTGGTGGCAATCGGGTTGATGGCCATTGGAGAAATGGAATCAGGACAGGGTATTTGAATTCCTATTCCTTTAAAACAATCTTAACAAAAAAATTTAATTTAATGGGATTATTCTTGGTTGGAAATACCTCTTGTGTGTGAGCTGAAAGTAAGGCCCTGGTGGTAAAGAGATTCAGGAATCAACAAGGAAAATTGAGGTAAAGCTTTTCAGTCCTTCATCTCCATGGATGAAGTGATTTTGTCTACTGCAATCTGCATTATCTGAGGAGGAAGGATAATTAACTTGAAGAAAAAAATAAGGTTTAGTGTTTCTCACAACATAGGATGAATGAAAGGATGGTGTTTCTCACAACATAGGATGAATGAAAGGATGGTGTTTCTCACAACATAGGATGAATGAAAGGATGGTGTTTCTCACAACATAGGATGAATGAAAGGATGGTGTTTCTCACAACATAGGATGAATGAAAGGATGGTGTTTCTCACAACATTGGATGAATGAAAGGATGGTGTTTCTCACAACATTGGATGAATGAAAGGATGGTGTTTCTCACAACATTGGATGAATGAAAGGATGGTGTTTCTCACAACATAGGATGAATGAAAGGATGGTGTTTCTCACAACATAGGATGAATGAAAGGATGGTGTTTCTCACAACATAGGATGAATGAAAGGATGGTGTTTCTCACAACATTGGATGAATGAAAGGATGGTGTTTCTCACAACATTGGATGAATGAAAGGATGGTGTTTCTCACATCATTGGATGAATGAAAGGATGGTGTTTCTCACACACATGAATGAAAGGATGAATGAAAGGATGGGATGAATGAAAGGATTGTTTCTCACAACATAGGATGAATGAAAGGATGGTGTTTCTCATAACATAGGTTGAATGAAAGGATGGTGTTTCTCACAACATAGGATGAATGAAAGGATGGCGTTTCTCACAACATTGGATGAATGAAAGGATGGTGTTTCTCACAACATTGGATGAATGAAAGGATGGTGTTTCTCACAACATTGGATGAATGAAAGGATGGTGTTTCTCACAACATAGGATGAATGAAAGGATGGCGTTTCTCACAACAGAGGATGAATGAAAGGATGGTGTTTCTCACAACATAGGATGAATGAAAGGATGGTGTTTCTCACAACATTGGATGAATGAAAGGATGGTGTTTCTCACATCATTGGATGAATGAAAGGATGGTGTTTCTCATAACTTAGGTTGAATGAAAGTATGGTGTTTCTCACAACATAGGATGAATGAAAGGATGGCGTTTCTCACAACATTGGATGAATGAAAGGATGGTGTTTCTCACAACATTGGATGAATGAAAGGATGGTGTTTCTCACAACATAGGATGAATGAAAGTATGGTGTTTCTCACAACATAGGATGAATGAAAGGATGGCGTTTCTCACAACATAGGATGAATGAAAGGATGGTGTTTCTCACAACATTGGATGAATGAAAGGATGGTGTTTCTCACAACATAGGATGAATGAAAGGATGGCGTTTCTCACAACATAGGATGAATGAAAGGATGGCGTTTCTCACAACATTGGATGAATGAAAGGATGGTGTTTCTCACATCATTGGATGAATGAAAGGATGGTGTTTCTCATAACTTAGGTTGAATGAAAGTATGGTGTTTCTCACAACATAGGATGAATGAAAGGATGGCGTTTCTCACAACATAGGATGAATGAAAGGATGGCGTTTCTCACAACATTGGATGAATGAAAGGATGGTGTTTCTCATAACTTAGGTTGAATGAAAGTATGGTGTTTCTCACAACATAGGATGAATGAAAGGATGGTGTTTCTCACAACATAGGATGAATGAAAGGATGGTGTTTCTCACAACATAGGATGAATGAAAGGATGGTGTTTCTCACAACATAGGATGAATGAAAGGATGGTGTTTCTCACAACATAGGATGAATGAAAGGATGGTGTTTCTCACAACATAGGATGAATGAAAGTATGGTGTTTCTCACAACATAGGATGAATGAAAGTATGGTGTTTCTCCCAACATAGGATGAATGAAAGGATGGTGTTTCTCACAACTTAGGTTGAATGAAAGAATGGTGTTTCTCACAACATTGGATGAATGAAAGGATGATGTTTCTCACAACATAGGATGAATGAAAGAATGGTGTTTCTCACAACTTATGTTGAATGAAAGGATGGTGTTTCTTACAAGTCAAAATATGAGGTTAACAAAATAGTAAAAAACTAATAAGTAGGTCATAGGCACATGATATTGCAAGTGACCTAAATTCCTTTAACCAGCCTAAGACCACAATAATGATTACCACCACAGTAAACTTTATTTGGTAAATTACTGATCCCATAGGATCCTGGAGTGCCTGGTCATGAGGTCCCCGTATTTTTCAGTCCTAACAAGCTTTGAATCAAATATGGGTAAAATGATCTCTGGTTTCTAATTGACACCAGCTAAAAATTTAGCCACAAAAACATCTCTCAGTTGTAATCACTGGTAAGTAAACAGTATTTGTACCTACCCAGCATTCAAGGACATAAACTGGAAATGCATCGTCTGTCCATATCTGTGCTGAGATCTAAATGAAACACGAAATGGTCTTTAGAAAGTCACGCAGATCTAGGAGTTATGTCTACCAATAAATTTTGGCTGAGCTATTGCTACTTAACTTTTTCCCATATCTTATCAGAAACCATTCATTCTAAGTAACTGAGGTAGTTTTACTTATCTAGATTGGTTTTATAATTCAACAAAACTCTCTTTCCCATTTTGTGATGTGAAGGAGACCTTATTTAACCCATTATCATCAGATAGTGGGCTCTTCAAATCACACTATGTCCGTAGTCCATGGTCCATTATTGTCATTTCTTTAGAAGTGCTTGATGGATCTTTTTTAATTTTCATATGTAGGTTCCCCTTGGTCATTAGTTGTGCTACACAGCTGACATTCAACCACTTTATATTTTGCAGTTAAAGATTATTGTTGTTATATCTTAAGAGGAATTTTTCAATTTCATACGATTAAGAACAAAACTGTAGAAAAGAACAGCCAGGTGATGGCCAATAATCCTCTGACATATCTTGTTTTGAAGTTATATTGTGTCTTAGAGTTATAATGAATGAAACTTAATAGGATGCTGGACATGGGATATGAGAAGGATGTAGCCCAGATAATCAACTCCCTGAACATGGCCCGCTCAGCTCAGTTATCTCGAGGACTGGTCAAGACTGAAAGTCGGCCAAGACAGACAGTACTATTGTCAGCTACTCTAACAGATGGTAAGTATAGCTTAATTTTGGGGTCAGACTGAGGTCATGCAGTACTATTTTCAGGTACCCTAACAAAGTCCCAGCCTGTTCCATTGAGTCCTGTCCCGTCCTAATTTAATGTAAGCAACTTCATTTATATCATAGATTTTTAATAAACTTTATACAAAGATCTAATATAGATATACTTCAAACATCATCGTGTTTCAGGGGTCAGAGGTCAATGCCAAGGTCACCCTTCCTACATATAGAAAATTATCACCTGATTCATTGTAAACACTTAACAACTCCAGTCTTTCATGGAATTTGATCACACTTTACACAGTGATCAGTTATAAGTATACTTCAGACATCATTGTGTTTCAAGGGTCCAAGATCAAGGTCTTTGCAGCAAGGCATTTAAGTTTTACAGACATTTTCAAGTCTGTGATAACTTTGAGTTTTTAGAATCATAGTGCAGTTAAACAGAAGAAACAATGTATTAGTCTTTGTCATCAAATGTAAGTACATTTATGACCCTTTTTGTTTCGATGAATTTTCAAGTTGGTATTACAACGGTATTGCACATTTATGCAGTATACATTTCAAAACTTGTTATAATGTTTGTGATTAGGTACCAGTAAGTTGCTGAGGTAAATAATGTAATACTTTACATGTAATATGTTAGTGGAGGGACATGAACAATTTTTTTATATAGATTTGTACTTCATTTGCATCACTTTTTGTAGGAGTAGAGAGAATGGCTGGAATTTCATTGACCGATCCTGTCCGAGTTGATCTGTCCCAGACAGACATTACATCAGACCAAAGTCAAACAAGCAATTCAGAAGAAACATCAGCAGAGGTGTCATTTAGTGTACCAGAGAATCTTAAACAACATTTCGTCATCACTCCCTGTAAATTGAGACTGGTGACCTTGGCAGCATTCATAATACAAAAGTGTAAGGTAAGCATCATCCCCAGTAAACTGAGACTGGTCACATTGGCAGAATTTGTCGTACAGATGTTGAGGGTAAGTGTCACCCTCTGTAAAGAGACTGGTCACATTGGCAGAATTTGTCGTACAGATGTTGAGGATAAGTGTCACCCTCTGTAAAGAGAGGTCACATTGGCAGAATTGGTCATACAGATGTTGAGGGTAAGTGTCACCCTCTGTAAAGAGACTGGTCACATTGGCAGAATTTGTCGTACAGATGTTGAGGGTAAGTGTCACCCTCTGTAAAGAGACTGGTCACATTGGCAGAATTTGTCGTACAGATGTTGAGGGTAAGTGTCACCCTCTGTAAAGAGACTGGTCACATTGGCAGAATTTGTCGTACAGATGTTGAGGATAAGTGTCACCCTCTGTAAAGAGACTGGTCACATTGGCAGAATTTGTCGTACAGATGTTGAGGGTAAGTGTCACCCTCTGTAAAGAGACTGGTCACATTGGCAGAATTTGTCGTACAGATGTTGAGGGTAAGTGTCACCCTCTGTAAAGAGACTGGTCACATTGGCAGAATTTGTCGTACAGATGTTGAGGATAAGTGTCACCCTCTGTAAAGAGACTGGTCACATTGACAGAATTTGTCGTACAGATGTGGAGGGTAAGTGTCACCCTCTGTAAAGAGACTGGTCACATTGGCAGAATTTGTCGTACAGATGTTGAGGGTAAGTGTCACCCTCTGTAAAGAGACTGGTCACATTGGCAGAATTTGTCGTACAGATGTTGAGGATAAGTGTCACCCTCTGTGAAGAGACTGGTCACATTGGCAGAATTTGTCGTACAGATGTTGAGGGTAAGTGTCACCCTCTGTAAAGAGGCTGGTCACATTGGCAGAATTTGTCGTACAGATGTTGAGGGTAAGTGTCACCCTCTGTAAAGAGGCTGGTCACATTGGCAGAATTTGTCGTACAGATGTTGAGGGTAAGTGTCACCCTCTGTAAACTGAGACTGGTCACATTGGCAGAATTTGTTGTACAGATGTTGAGGTTAAGGATCATTATTCGAAACTGAGATATTGTCAGCATATGTAATACAGAAGTAAGTATCACTCTTTGTAAACTTGTACTGACAACACATGCACTATTGTAAACTTGTACTGACAACACATGCACTATTGTAAACTTGTACTGACAACACATGCACTATTGTAAACTTGTACTGACAACACATGCACTATTGTTAGATGACTTGTCAATTCCTATAGAATATGCTTCATTATGTGTCTATTCATAACTGACTTTTCTGTGTTGAGCTTTATCTGTATCTTGTTGTTGCTAGGTGAAACAGAAGACAGGGAAGATGCTTGTTTTCCTCCCTACCCAAGATTCAGTCGAGTTCCACTACACCATCTTTCATCATTTTTGGGGGGGAGGTAACTCTGTACCTGATGTTCTTGGTGACCTTGACCTAGGACCTAAGAAGAAGGAAAGTAATTACCTAGATTTTTTCAGACTGCATGGAGAAATGGCACAGAAGGTTTGTAATTTCATAATCACATTCATTATCAGTTTTCATCTCTTTGTACTTAAGTCTTATGCTGTGAATTAATTTATCCTGATATCATTGAAAATTTCCAATTTGCAAGTTACATACCTGGTACATTAAAAGACATACCTGGTACATTAGAAGTAAAGTTTATATGATTTGCACAAGGGATACAGATGTAAGCCAGGTAACCCAGTAATTATATAAAAGTTGTCACTAAGCAGTGTTTCAGAACAGGCATGAGAAAGGATAATACATATTTTTAATGATGTCCAGTAGGATTTACTTATATTGTGTATCCTTTTTTACTTCCTAGGATCGAGCAAGTGTCTACCAGAAATTTTCAAAAGCAAATTTTGGAATTTTATTTTGTACGGTAAGTAATAAACTAAAGTATCTTAGTTTCTGTACATAATCTATACATAGACCTAGGGGGCTGCGATAGCTCGGTCAATAATAAGAGCATTGACCTACATAACCTCAGGTGAAGATCCGATGTGTGTGGTTTGACGCTCCCTACCCACAGTGGTTGGTGTTTCTCTGGAAGCTGAGAAATGGTCTGTGCTGTCATGGGTGTGTCCTTAAGCAAGATTCTTTATCCTTATTGCTGTGAAGGGCATGTGATAGGCCTCTTGTATGTAAGACTTGTATGTTTGTATGACTGAAAGCACATAGCTCTCAGAGGACATCAATTCTTAGCATCCATTCATTTTCATTGATAGGAACAATTAAGATTTTTAGGTAAGGCTTTGTAAAAATATCTTTGTGGTCAGCAGTCAAATTTTCTTCTACAAAACGTTACTTTCTAATTTTAAAATCCACTAAATCTAACCATATTCTCATGTAGACAAAAGAGTTTTCATTTGAATAACGGGAAACCATACAAAAAATTCATTTTCAAACACTGAAGTAAGAAAATGTCAATTAGTATCAGATTTCTACAGTTACACTGGCCATTGCTAGCTGTGAGACAGAGTTTATTGGTTCCTTTGTAGGATGTGGCCTGTCGCGGTCTTGATCTGCCAAATGTGCGATGGATTGTGCAATATTCACCACCAGGGTCAACGAGTGACTATATTCACAGAATTGGCCGTACAGCCCGCGCAGGGAAGCAAGGACACTCATTGCTGTTCCTCATGCCCTCAGAAGTAGAATATGTGCCTCGTCTCAACAAAGACAAGATTAGGTAATCATCCTACTTACAAGGAATACCTTGTGAAATATGTTTTATCTAATACAGGGTTTGCAAGGAATTGTGGACATTTTACATGATGGCCATTGAAGTATGTTGTTCACACTGATCCAGTCTAATAAATACACATGCATGAAATTATGCATATTAATGTCTTGGGTTACGTGAGGGAATTCAGAAAAATTATCAACCCATGTCACATACTGGTACATGTAGGAATCCAGAAGCATTGTTGAGTTGACTATGTATATTTTATGTAAAGGTTACTTATTGTAAAAGATGAAAGTTCACTGTCGCTAAAAGATGCTGTCCAGATGTGTTAAAACAGATATTTTTCTAAATATTATTCTGGTTTATCTAGCCTAGTGGAGCTACAGATGAACAGGTTGCTGGAAAGTTTACTTGGTGTGGTGACAGACCTTCAAGACATTAATGACCAGGTCAGTAGTGCACTTGTCTCTCACAAGCCAAAATGTAGAGCAAATTTTTGTTCTCTCTTATCACTTGATAAGAATTTGAAAATATTGCAAAACACATAGTAATGAAGTCTGCATCTATTGTCTCCATTGTATTACCAGAATTTAATTACCTTACTCACCACTGTCACTTTACCAGACAGCAGTTGTAATTATGAGACTACAATAGCTGATGTAATTACGACACCATGATTGTGTAGCATCATTTAATCACATTTACACTTATTCACCACAGTCACATTACTAGACTGCTATTGTAATTATGACACTATAATTGCAAATAGTCCTTCTGTATTGTGACATCACAACACTCTTGGTAGCCATTTGATGTTTGGGCTGTTTCAGTTACAGATTTACTCCCTTGTATAAGATAGGTTTTCCGCTCAAAATAACTCGGACTTCACTTAATTATATTGTACTCTTATTATTTATAATAGAGTATTTCATTAATGAAAAAGTAGGCGATGTAATTGCAAGATGCTTGCTAGCAAATCTTCCATAAAACCTGTTAGATTTACCGGGTCATTTGAGATTATATTGCTTGCAGTTACATTCAGAAAACACTTAAAAGCATGTTATGTTTCATTGGGTCAAAATGCATGAGTTACACAGAAATCATATAATTGTTATATTACATTATTACTGGAGTCGCCTGACATGTTATCTCCCTTGACCTTTTCTGTTTATTTCTCCACTAGAGGGAGCTGCCAAGAACTGGTGAGGAAGCAGCAACATATTTTCAGATGTGCGTGGAAGACTACATCAATGACAACACTAAAATGACAGATTTGGCCGTAAAAGGTATTACTATTGTGTTGAATTCCTGGCTCTATATACCAGGTAATAGATCGCTTTAGCTGGTAACACATTCCCTAGTCAAATCAATAACATTACATGGTGGGTTGTCGATTGATAACATTACACGGTGAGTTGTTGCCTTGATAACATTACATGGTGAGTTGTCACCTTGATAACATTACATGGTGAGTTGTCACCTTGATAACATTATGTGGTGAGTTGTTGCCTTGATAACATTACATGGTGAGTTGTTGCCTTGATAACATTACACGGTGAGTTGTCACCTTGATAGCATTATGTGGTGAGTTGTCACCTTGATAACATTACATGGCGAGTTGTCACCTTGATAACATTACATGGTGAGTTGTTGCCTTGATAACATTACACGGTGAGTTGTCACCTTGATAGCATTATGTGGTGAGTTGTCACCTTGATAACATTACATGGCGAGTTGTCACTTTGATAACATTACACGGTGAGTTGTCACCTTGATAGCATTATGTGGTGAGTTGTCACCTTGATAGCATTACATGGCGAGTTGTCACCTTGATAATATTACATGGTGAGTTGTCACCTTGGTAACATTACATGGTGAGTTGTCACCTTGATAACATTACACAGTGAGTTGTTGCCTTGATAACATTACATGGTGAGTTGTCACATTGATAATATTTCATGGTGAGTTGTCACCTTGATAACATTACACAGTGAGTTGTTGCCTTGATAACATTACATGGTGAGTTGTCACCTTGATAGCATTATGTGGTGAGTTGTCACCTTGATAACATTACATGGCGAGTTGTCACCTTGATAACATTACACGGTGAGTTGTTGCCTTGATAACATTACACGGTGAGTTGTCACCTTGATAGCATTATGTGGTGAGTTGTCACCTTGATAACATTACATGGCGAGTTGTCACCTTGATAACATTACACGGTGAGTTGTCACCTTGATAGCATTATGTAGTGAGTTGTCACCTTGATAGCATTACATGGTGAGTTGTCACCTTGATAATATTACATGGTGAGTTGTCACCTTGGTAACATTACATGGTGAGCTGTCATCTTGGTAACATTACATGGTGAGTTGTCACCTTGGTAACATTATGTGGTGAGTTGTTGCCTTGGTAACATTACGTGGTGATTTGTCACCTTGGTAACATTACGTGGTGAGTTGTCACCTTGATAACATTACGTGGTGAGTTGTCACCATGATAACATTAAGTGATGAGTTGTCACCTTGATAACATTACGTGGTGAGTTGTCACCTTGATAACATTATGTGGTGAGTTGTCACCTTGATAACATAACGTGGTGAGTTGTCACCTTGATAACATTACGTGGTGAGTTGTCACCATGATAACATTACGTGGTGAGTTGTCACCTTGATAACATTATGTGGTGGGTTGTCACCTTGATAACATTATGTGGTGAGTTGTCACCTTGATAACATTACATGGTGGGTTGTCACCTTGATAACATTTCATGGTGGGTTGTCACCTTGATAACATTACATGGTGGGTTGTCACCTTGATAACATTTCATGGTGGGTTGTCACCTTGATAACATTACATGGTGGGTTGTCACCTTGATAACATTTCATGGTGGGTTGTCACCTTGATAACATTATGTGGTGTGTTGTCACCTTGATAACATTACGTGGTGGGTTGTCACGTGAGTTGTCAATTGATAACATTACGTGGTGGGTTGTCACATGAGTTGTCGATTGATAACATTGCGTTGTGGGTTGTTGCCTTGATAACATTACATGGTGAGTTGTCACCTTGATAACATTATGTGGTGAGTTGTCACCTTGATAACATTATATTGTGGGTTGTCACCTTGATAACATTTCATGGTGGGTTGTCACTTCCCTAAGCACAGTATATTACATTGATTCTCTGCAGGAGTTATACTGTTACCTGTCTTATTTTATGTTGTGTAAGAAGATAAACAAAGTCTCATATTTTTCCAGGGTTTCAGTCGTTTGTGAAAGCATATGCTACCTACCCATCAGAGCTGAAGTCCGTCTTTCATGTGAAGCACCTTCACTTGGGCCACCTTGCTAAAAGCTTTGGTTTGAGGGAGTCGCCATCAAAGATCAAACATCCAGCTGGGAAGTCACACAATGATAAACAGGGACGACAGGATACATCAAGGTACACTTAATTACTTGGTAAAACAGAGGTCAATACAGTCTAAACAGCTCATCACTTATGTAGATCTTTTTGGACTCAATAGCTTTACAGAAAAAGGGACCCTTCCACTTAAATGTTCTGCACAATAGCGAAGATTCATGCTTAACTCTTTACAAAAACTGAAGTTAGTATGATATATACTGTTCTCTGCAGTTCATGGATATCATTGAAAATGTTTTGATAAAATGTATGGAATCACTTAAACACATGGGTAAATAAAGTTCTTTTATTGCTACAGGTTAAAGTTCAAAAGAAGAACTGTGTCAGAGTTCGGCAGTGGTCTTGAATCAAACGCACTTCCGAAGTTTAAAAAGGATCTAAAAAGAAAAAAAAAACACAAATTGAATAAATAAAGTTAGGTTTTTACAAAATACAGTTATGTTATTTATGCTCTTAGAACCATTTCAAATCCTGACATCATGGTGTGGAGTTATAGATCACCTGGTGATACAGAGGTACTGACATCATGGGGTGGAGTTATAGAAGTACTGACATCATGGTGTGGAGTTATAAAGGTACTGACCTCATGGTGTGGAGTTATAGAACACCTGGTGATACAGAGGTACTGACAGCATGGTGTGGAGTTATAGAGGTACTGACCGCATGGTGTTGAGTTATAGAACACCTGGTGATACAGAGGTACTGACCTCATGGGGTGGAGTTATAGAGGTACTGACCTCATGGTGTGGAGCTATAGAGGTACTGACCTCATGGTGTGGAGTTATAGATCACCTGGTTGTACAGAGTTACTGACATTTTGGGGAGGTCTGAATCACCTGGTTATATTAAGATGTTGACTTCCAGTCTCTGAAATGCTGGTCTCTTTGGTCAAGACACTTTGATGTTGATTTTGCCTACTGAAGCTGAACTTTCATTATTTCATCACTGAACCTTTGCATATGATGATGACCTGGAACTGATCTTTCAGGTTGTCTGTTATGACCTTCAACCTGTCATTGGAGCTGAAAGTAGTTATAAGTTGTCTGAATGATATTTAACATGTCACTAGAGCTGGGATTAGTAAGATTATATGACCTTTAACTGTCATTACAGCTGAAACTTGTCAAGTTGTATGACCTTTCACAGTCATTACAGCTAGTATTTGTCAGGTTGTATGCCCATTTACTATGATTACAGCTGGAACAAGGCAGGTTGTATGACCTTTAACCTGTCTTTACAGCTGGGATTTGTCAGCTTGTATGACTTTTACCTGTAATTACAGATGGGACAAGGCAGGTTATTTAACCTGTCTTTACAGCTGGGATTTGTCAGGTTGTATGACCTTTAACCTATCACAACTTTGTCAGGTTGTATGACCTTTAACCTATCATAACAGCTAGGATTTGTTAGGTTGTATGACCTTTAACCTGTTGTTATAACCAAGATTTGTCAGGTTGTATGACCTTTAACCTGTTGTTATAGCCACGATTTGTCAGGTTGTACGACCTTTAACCTGTTGTTATAGCCGAGATTTGTCAGGTTGTATGACCTTTAACCTGTCATTACAGCTTGGATTTGTCAGGTTGTATGACCTTTAACCTATCATAACAGCTAGGATTTGTCAGGTTATATGACCTTTAACCTGTCATTTGAACTGGTATATGTCAAATAGTGTGACCTTTGAGCTGTCCTTACAACTGGGATTTAACAGGTTGGCAAAATGGCTGAAGGATTGCTACAAACAAGATTGAACAAGGGTTTTTAAGTTTCCCTACCCTACAGGTGCTCAAGGGAAAATCCATCTTGGAGCAAGGCTTACACAAACATGAAACAAAACCATAATATAACACAACTGCCAAATATTGGATGGTTTATGAATCAGAAAAGATGAAGACTGAACAGAATCAATTAATTTATTTCTATGCCTTAATATCAAATATCATAAATTTTATCAGAATAACTCACACATTCACATCAAATTAACTAGTATGTAAATTTGCTAATTAAAAAGTACAAGGGCACTGGCCAATGTTCCATCAGAATGTAAAGTACAAATCTATAGAAATTCGATAAAAATAAACAGCAGTTTTAAAAATACTAAGTACAAACACATATTTGTTGTATATTGTGTACAATTATATAAAACTGTTATATTTCAAATGCTTGGCAGTTTGTGTCCATATCACTTATCGCAATACCAACAATTTTTTTACCGAAGATTTCCTCCTTCTTTTGGAGTTTAAGATTCAAAATTGTTCATCTCATTTTGAAAATAAAGTTGAAGTTAGACAACAATACAAACTGTGGTACCTGGAATGCTGTAATTGTGTAATGTTAGATTGGTATTGATAAATCCCTGAAGGAAGTATGTATAATGATAAATTATTTATAATATAACATCCCTATACATAATATACTTTATTACATAATCCACCTGTTTTCCAGTGAATTCACCAAGGTTATATTTGTACATATGTCATTAGTGTGATATATCTTAAACCCTTTTCATTGACTGCAACAGTCAGAAATTGATTGTAATATGAATTTAAAATGTTCGAACAAAATGTTTGCTTTGTTTGAATTTGTTCTCCACATTTTGACTTAAAATCCATCAAAATATAACTTTTCTGAGTTAAGTGATAAAAGCATCTTGTTATCATTTCATATGAGATTTATGAAACTTGACACTCAAAGTTTTGATTTTTGTTTGAAGAAAAAAATCTTGTTTCATAAAATCTCTTGTGAAATGGAAACTCATTAAAGATCCCATATATACTATGAAAAATTATCTCCAGTAGTTGTCAGATATGAGCATTAACCTGATTCATCTCCATACATAATACAATGGTATAAAACTAGTTTTTCCTGTAAAAAATAATGTAACAACTTCAAACATCCTAATGTGAAAATTGTGTTGATGCATCTGAAAATAAAACATATAAAAACAGCTAATCGGTTATCAGTAGCCATGTATACTATAATGCCAGGCATTAAAAACCTACCCATAAATATGAATTAATGATATCATAATTAAATACATCATTTCATGCTTTATATACAAAGTTGTAAAACTTAAAGTTCATCAACAGATACAATGTAGAACTATGTGGGAAAATGTTCAAAAAGCCTACTACAAGAATGAAAGATAATTAAACTAAGTTGCAAGGTGATAAAAAGTTCTACAAATGTAAATAACATCTGATAAAAGATAAATGAATATAATATTTTTCTTGTTTTTAGGTGGTAAAAAGCTTTAACAAAAACTTTTCTTTGTTGATTACATTGATCAACACCTCTTCAACATACATACTCTAACACTATACAACACACTCTTACACTATACAACACACTCTTACACTATACAACACACACCTTACACAACACACTCTCAACACACTACACACTATACAACACACTCTTACACTATACAACATACTCTTACACTATACAACACACTCTTACACTATACAACACACTCTTACACTATACAACATACTCTTACACTATACAACACACTCTTACACTATACAACACACTCTTACACTATACAACACACTCTTACACTATACAACACACTCTAACACTATACAACACACTCTTACACTATACAACACACTCTTACACTATACAACATACTCTTACACTATACAACATACTCTTACACTATATAACACACTCTAACACTATACAACACACTCTTACACTATACACCACACTCTTACACTATACAACACACTCTTACACTATACAACACACTCTAATAATATACAACACACTCTTACACTATACAACACACTCTTACACTATACAACACACTCTACACACTATACAACACACACTTCTATACACTATACAACACACTCTTACACTATACAACACACTCTTACACTATACACCACACTCTTACACTATACAACACACTCTTACACTATACACACACTACTATACAACACACTCTTACTCACACTCTACAATATACAACACACTCTTACACACAACATACTACACTCTTACACTATACAACATACAACATCTAACACTATACAACACACTATACAACACACTCTACACTATACAACACACTCTTACACTATACACATATACAACAACACACTCTTACACTATATAACACACACACTATACAACATACACTATACAACACACTCTTACACTATACAACACACTCTAACACTATACAACATACTCTAACACTATACAACACACTCTTACACTATACAACACACTCTAACACTATACAACACACTCTTACACTATATACACACACTCAACACACTCTTACACTATATAACACACACACTATATATACACACACTCTACACTATACACTATACACACTTACACTATACAACACACTCTTACACTATACACCACACTCTTACACTATACAACACACTCTTACACTATACACCACACTCTTACACTATACACCACACTCTTACACTATACAACACACTCTTACACTATACAACACACTCTAACACTATACAACACACTCTAACACTATACAACACACTTTAACACTCTTCAGCACACTCTAACACTCTTTAACACACTAAAGCACTCACCACAGCATATTCTAACACTAACACACTCTTACACTATTAAACTAATCGACAATATATTACATTGTGTCACTGATATACAATGTAATATACAATATCATTGGTATACAATGTATTACATGGTGTAAGTGATATAAAATGTATTGTAAACAAATGTATGAAATATCACATGCAGCATAAATCAAGTTTAGAATATAAATATAACAACAGGTAACTATGGTGGCATGTAACTGCCATCTACATGTCATGTTGCCATGATAATTTGTCGTGACAAATTGCTACATTAAGACCACTTATGATAATATCATGTTTAGACGTCTTATCAAGTCAACTTTGTGTGATGATCATTTGATAAATTGATATTTTAAGTTTCATGACAACCTTTAGTTTTGTTGCAATAAAACAGATTGCTCGAAAAGGACAATAGAATAGATTTATGTGTTATTCAGGAGGCCTCTGTATTTTGGATTTTCAGTGAAGAAGTGATGAAATCAGTCAGTAGCTGTAGCCAATTTAGGGCAAGCTTCCTATAGCCCTAACGCCCTATGAAGTAATGCGACTTACTGAGGTATCTAAAATGAGGTGTTGCTATGACAATTTGTAGCAATGAATTATCATGGCAAGATGACCAGTCGATGGCAGTTTGATGCCACCATAGGTAAAAGCAAAAAAATCCATTGAACATATCATATTAACAAGATTAACAGTTAAACTTTCAGCAAACATGTTGCAGGGTTACTGGTCACATTCATTAACACAAATATTACATTCTCCAATCTTATGCTATGTGATCTACTCCATCTAAGACACATGAATCTCTACATATAACTCTACATTTTGTGTAGAACAGGACAGGGTCTACAGGACAACTGTTCAGTATCTACAGATACAGGACAACTGTTCAGTATCTACAGATACAGGGCAACTGTTCAGTATCTACAGATACAGGACAACTATTCAGAATATAGGTACCACACTGGAAAGTGCCACCTGGTGTTGGTCTGCCCACTCTATAAATTGTGGACACCTCTTTTTACAAACCTTCATCAAGGTCACACAGTCATCCTCTGCATTATGAGACAATGGAGGTTTCTGACCAAAAGTGCGTAAATATATCTCCTCTAGTTTGTATGACAATCTGGGTAAAACAATAGGTGTAGTTTGTCCCTGATCACCATATAAAATATCTGAAATTTGTGTTCTTGAATTTACTGGGGTTACATCAGTACTACTACCTCCATTAGAATTCAGACATTTCCTCAGAGGTGTACAAGTCTTATCTGGGTTCTCATTTGCCTCAATAAAATCAACAGCTGCCATTAGCATGTCGTCTGTGGCACTGTATTCAGACTTGAGTGTTAAGGACTCAACATTCTGTTCCACTGCTCGAGCCATGGGCTGTTGTGGGGATGCTTGTTGTACAACAGCAGCATCAGCTTGTATTTTCTCTGAATTTTCAACAACCTGACTTGCGTCTTTTGCAGATAGTTCTTCCTTTAAACAAGATTTGTTTTCCATGCTTTCTGCCTCTTTGACATTCTTCTCTGCACCAGTGAAAAGTCTTTTCCTAACATGATCAATGCTGTCTGTATCAGCGTTACGTTTCGCATGCATGGAGTCTTGTTTGACAGTGGCAGTACAGGCAGGTCTTGTCTGATCTTCTGAAATTCTGAAATCATTTTGACTGACATCCTGGATTCCCTGACGTACAGGTGTTGTATTATTCTGGTTTTGGATTTCGATCAGTGCCCGTTCCTCCTCATACAAGATTTTTGTATCTATGGACCTGACAGCATCTAGACTGTCTACACACAACACCTCCAAAGAAAGCTCACACTTGGCACGTTTCAACTCTGCATTAAGAAGTGGGTAGTCAAAACCATTTCCATAATGCGCAACCAGACAAACCGGCTGTGGTAGTCTGGACAGAAAAAGGGTGATAATGTCAACAACGTTTTTGTCAAATGAAGTTTGGGATTCCAGGCTGTCATTGTATAGACCTGAAAAATTAACATTGAATAATTTTAACACTGTCAAGTATTTCTTTTACAAAATACACAATTTTGCAATCGTGGATATATGCAATATAAACAATACCAAAAATATAAACAAAGTAAAATCAACAAGAATTTATTCTAATTAGAGATATTTGCTACAGATGGCTGTTATTGATCAATGCTGTTTCAGACCAGTATAAAATAATCATATCTTGTCACATTAGTTCCTATAAAGAAATATACAAAAAATTGTCTTATGAATCCGATGAATTGTGAGATTACATTGCATATCTTTGCCTCGTGTAGTCAGTTAGGTGTTGTTGGGCAAAGTTAGTTATAGTTGATTATAATAAAATAGTTATGTAACATGAGTGGAAAAATGCATGGCCAGAATGAGGTTCAAAACCAGGACCCGTCATGCTCTTTACAGACACTCTATCAATGGAGCTACTTGAATGCAGATTATCGACCCAGTCAAATTCCACTATAGTTAGTTAATGGTTTCTATTCTACCAACATATCACCAATTGATACATCAGTGTTCTGTCGGTGTTATGTAGGTTGGTCGTCAAATGCACACATAAGATATACTTATTTACTTGGTTCCACTTATATATATACATGTATTTCAAATCATTCAAACCTTATTTGGCCTCTATTCTAGACTCCACTGAAGTTAATTTTCCACATTTTTCTTTGGGATTAACTGAGTAGTAGACCTTTTTCCGCAGAAATTTAAAAAGGGAGGCTAGTGTAAAACTGAAGTACTGATATGAACTAAAATTTCGTTATGATAGATTAAGCAGTTGCGATATACCTGTTATGTCACTGGCTATTAAACTGATAGGCTTTTGTGGATGCACGCAGATAGTCAGCTTATTTACGATCCTGGGAGAACCTTCACGAGTCAGCAACTCTTCACGCTGGACAGACAGTAGACACAGTTCAGTGATGCGTGGCCGTGTCAGATCAGTAGCTTCCAAGTCAAAGAAGACGAAAGTCTGTATAGGTACTTTGGAAACATTGGTCATCGCGACGAGAAGTTAATTTCAAGATACACTCCTGCTGCTATATATACCCTTACCGCTGATGGGAGCACCTGTTGACAGCCGACTAGTTGATTCCTGTGCATACAACGTGTTGTGTCTTGTTCATGTGTCACGCTGTCCGTATTTTACACACTTAGGTAAATACTATCATTCATGTATGCATAAGTAAATATATCGTATAGTAATCGTTTGTAGCACGACCTCATATTTCTGAGTAAAGTACGATTCAAGTGGCGATGATATCACTCCATACATGTGGAATGGTCACGTGGTTTTGTTGTGATTGACGTCATCGAGAGTAATCTAAATTTAAAGGGAAATATCCGGAGGAAAAGGACCCGGAAAAAAAGGATGTTGATTAACACATATGACACTACATCATGTACCATGTGCATCTCTCAATTAAATCACTGGAATATGAACATACATTTGCAAAATCCGATAGGGGACGCAAAAAATAACACATGATATGGACAAATAAAACATATATGGAAACACAAAAGGTACTGTAAACCAAGAGCAAGAAACAGTACTTCACTTTCACAAACTGTGTCAGTATGATTCGTCAAACCAGGGACGTATAATACGTCCCTACCTTTATTTATCACTTATTATCCTCTATGAAAACGTGAGTTATCTTTCTTTCTTTCGGAAATTCTTGTCACAATACGTAATAGCAGGTTTTGTCTCTAAACTTTTGGGTAGACTTCAGGAAAAGTGCCGGTCAACCAGCGTTTCTGCTACATTTGCAGAAATCATGGCATCAAGGTAGCGAATGAATAAAAAATTGAATTCACAGGTTCCCACCGAACCCCAAGCTACGGGAGCTGTCGGTAATGACCGATGAGTCGTCTCGTTAGGAAAGACTTCAAATCTTCTAGTAAGTAGGTTCCATCAACAGTGAACATTTAAATACGCAAACTGCGGTTTGACCACGGACGTATAACACATAAGAGATTATACGTCCCTGGTAAAGGGGCCTTCCATGGCGTGCACCACTGCAATGTGCTGAAGTTCCATTTTGGCGACTTGTCTTGTGAATACCGAGATGCACAAGGACAGGTCGGCCACTTCTTGACAGCGCGAGAAGCGCGTCACTGAACATATGAGCCTTTCACAGCTCCGCTCAATGTCGTAGGTTATTTATAGCATATATAAAATTAGTATCAGAAATATTTAATTTGGCCGGCAGTTTGTTCCTTCTCGATATATTCTTGCTAATTTAACGACATTGACAGGGCCGGTGTCAGTTTTTGTTAACCGTTACTTCCTTTCTCTCCAGTTACTCCCGTATTCCCACGTGCATTACTTTACGTAGAAAAAAATATATGGATATCAGCCACAATTGAGGACCTTAATGGCCGAATGCGACCTATATATTAAAAATAAACCGGGTGGTTAGCAATTAACTGATAAGAGGAGATGGCTTTAGTAAACAACTTCTACTGCGGTTGCTTGTAAACATAACCACATGGGCAGCGTTGCTATGGACACTGGTCAAAATTATACATCATCAACACATCTAGTCTATGATAGAACCACAACATGATGTTAGGACATATATTTCAATAATTCAATACCAGATCAGAATAAGACGGTAAATGAAGAAGACTCACTGATTATCTACGTGCGATATCTACAGCGGTATCAAAATTTTGTTCCCGGTAATATTCATGCTTTCGAATGAAACATTTAAGTTTTAATATTAAATTAATCTTTATTAAAATGTCCAATATATACCTTTACGTTGGGAAAACCATGCTAAGTGTTTCCTTATTTCAACCAATTAGACGACTAAAAGCTATCTCGAATAAATAAGAAAATATTACATTTTTGTTCGGACAACATAAAAATTAAATTCCCATGATGTAATATATTTATTTCTGTCTGTCCATTTTTACTGATCACGTGTGAAAATCGCTTTTCAGTGGAATGTTCAGTATATGAAACATTACGTGTTACTCGAAGATATCATTAATAAATTTCTTCCAAATAGAGTTTCTGTAATTATATGGTGGTGCTTTATAGTTTTTCTTCCTTTTTTACTGTGTGGGGCTTGCGCCGTTCGAGAGTTTCAAACGGAGGTGTAGGGTCTACCACTTTCTCATTCCAGTGACAAACTGCTAAACAAGAAATATTGATTTACCGCTTGATTTGAAATTGAAATTATTTGATGCATTGGTATCCCCGATTTTATTATATTCAAGTGAAATATGGGCATATGAGAACTGTTATCTTATTGAAAAGATACATTTACAATTTTGTAAGAGAATTTTGGGGTTGAAGAAAAGTACAACCAATTTTATGGTCTACGGAGAAATCGGAAGATACCCTATTACTATAGATATTAAATTAAGAATGGTTAAATATTGGTACTCACTAATCCTGAATGAGAATAAATCATCAAGTTGCATGTATAAATTGATGTATTCACTCAACGAAACAGGCCAAATAGAATTCAATTGGATAAACTGCATTAAAAATATTTTAAACAGTGTTGGATTAGGTCATGTATGGATGCTTCAGAAAACTTGTTTACCACATATCAATTTTTTAAAATCTGAAGTTGCTCAGAGACTGAAGGACCAGTTTGTCCAATCTTGGTTTGACGAAATGGAAAAATCGTCCAGAGGACAAGTATATAGTATTTTCAAAAATGAATTTGGTATTGAAGACTATTTATTACGGTTGAACAAAAAAGATGCAGAATTTATCTGTAAATTCAGAACAGCAAATGTTAAATTACCGGTAGAATTAGGTAGATGGAGAGGGATACAACATCTTGATCGAGTATGTCCCATGTGTAATAATGGTATAGGAGATGAGTTTCATTTTTTATTTTTGTGTAATAATGATGAAGTAAAACAGCTAAGGCTGAAGTATATCCCGGGATACTACTGTAAATATCCTAACCGATACAAAATGAAAGGGATGTTCACAGTCTTTAATAAAAAGTTATTGATGAATGTAAGCATGTTTATCCAACGATTGTCATACATTTTATAATGCGATTGCGTTAATTGTTAGCATTGATTGTCCTAGATATTAAAATGTTTGAGCTGCTTACAATGTATGTTTTCGGAAAATCAACAAATATATAACATGTTTATAACTATGGCTGCCTGTCATGTACTAAAAATGTTTCAATATGTATGACCTCTTGTCACACATTGTTGTTGTCTGAGAGAAATAAAAATCTTGAAATCTTGAATAAAAATGTTACAAATCTGTAATTTATCGTCAATGAATTATTTCTTTTATCCTTGAAAATGTGTTGTTAAGCTTTCCACGTAATATGTATTTCGAATAAAGACATAGTTTTCTGATGGCGGAATTTAGGATAACTTTCAGCATTATTTTGTTCTATCCATTTACTCTTCAAAAGAGTAACTGTAGTCTCGTACCTTTGCTCTTTCCGACACCCGGCAGTGGGGGACAATTTTCTTGTTTATTGTGAATAATGCTGTATATAGCATTGGTTAAAAATGCCCGAAGTTTTGGTGGACCATGTGTTTCCTCTCATGTAAACTCGTCCTTTAGATACATTACCCAGCACCCTTTTCACAGATTTAACAGCATGCCAGGCATCAGTTTGAATGTCATTGGTTAATGGTCCCTCACATATTTCTTAATAGTCAAGCTCAAGTCACTGGACATCTATGGTTACATACTTGTCATCAAAATATTGATAACAGTTTTCAGTTACCCATGTTTTTGTGACACAATTTTGTCAGCTTTTCTCACATGGAAACAATTAAGTACTTTATGTGTTTGTTTTCCAGTAACTACAACATTGAAATCTTTCGCATTTTCCGCCAGTCATGCCTAGCTTTTGTCATAATGTCTATGCCCTGGAGCTGGTCCTATATATACCAATTTCTTCCAAAAGAGTATCCTCAACGCTCTCATTGTTTGCGACCGCCTTACTAAAGCTCAGTCTCGGTTATTAGAAAGTCGTATATTAGAAGCAGCACGGATTATCACTGGTGATACCAGATTAACTAGTAAAGAAGCCTAGGAGGCGACTAAGGAAAAACCAAAGTGATCAAAAGAAAAGTTGAAATCTAGACGGGAGTTGCAGCAGCCCCATAATTAGATAAATTTCGTAATTTCCATACATCAGATAATTTAAGAATAGCGTCAAGTCCATATAGATTTTCTTAACCGTGCAACTATTCAAGAGAATTGAAACGTGGCAAGCAGGTAACGGCAAACCACGGGGACTTAAAAGTTCACTGGCAGTGTCTACCACCTGTATCTGGAACTCCTTGCCGAACGTTGTTAGAAATTACCCTTCACGTTATAAACTGAAAACCGTTCTACTCACGCCCATACCCGAAATTCCAACAATTTACTTTAATGTCACCATTAGTACCTTTTCACTTATATTAGATCCTTATTATAAAACTGTCTTCTAAAACAAACAACTGAAACTGCTGAGATTCATAAAATTCAAGGTTATCTGAAAGATGTAGGGGAGTTATCTGCCCCTGACTATGATGGGGTTTGATATTGGCTCTGCGACATTTTTCGATTATTTAAACAAATTGACGAGCTTTTGTTGAATTCCAACCGACTCTTGAGTCATGTTAGGTTATATCGAATCTGTAAATTGATGCTTTAAGAAGGGGGTTCTTCCCCACAAAGCAGATACTAAACATTTGTAAACTGACCAAGTGGACAAAGTACAATGGACATGAAGCACAATGGCGCGACCTTCGCAGAGATTGTCAAGGGAAAAAACTCCACAAAACCAGTATTCATAAAGGAACTAGATTATTTTCAAAACCAATAAGGAGTGGATGGATCTCACACGTCGTACTATACAAAATTATTTCAAAGTATATTCCACCGGAGACGCTTGTAGGAATCCAGAGGGTGAATGATCTGTGGAAGATATATACAGACAATGAAGGGTTATTTACAAATTAGAAACTTTCACTAAACCAATCAAGCATAATAATATATGTATGAATCACGAAATCCTGTACAGATTGTATGCCATATTGACTACATAAATAGTATACATGTATTTACACTGTGCTTTATGTGTTGACGGGCCGTTAAGATTGTAGTAATGATAATAATGATAGAGATCCCGAAGGATTTGGGAGTAGCTAACTGGTATTCCATATCCTCCAGGGAGTCGAATTTGTTGACTTTTTCTCCTTCTATCTGACGATATCTGAACTTTTGCTAGGGTTATTTTTTCCCTTTTTGATTGGGAGCTGGTTTTGATGGTGGTTGGGATTCCGACTTTGTTCTGACCCATCGTCGTGGTCTACAATTCCACACTTAACACAAACTTTCTGTGTTTTACAGTTATCAGGATGAGGACCAACCTCCTGCTGTTGAACCATCGTAGTGGATTTGGGATGTATACATCCACACCAAAATATTCGAAGCCAACCTTCACAAGTTTTGTTAAAAGTGGAATGTTAATAGTAATATCGAAAGTGTTGGTTAGTAACAGTAATTAGATAGTAATAAATCAATTAATTAATTAACATGACCCTTTTTTTCTTTCATCAAATATTTAAAGGTAAAATGGGTCACAAGAATATTTGAGGGTTCTAGGAAAACCTGGATATTTTTGGTAAAAGTAATTCTACCTTTTGAAATTGAACTTTTGTATTATCTTGATAGCAAAACACTAAAGGACGTTGGTAAGTATATCAAAAATGGAGAGATATAGTCAATGCCTTGTCAGAACTCCAATTTGCGCCTAATTTGTTGTCAGAATATTTATGTAAGTGCTTATACAATTTTGTGTCAGTTGTGCGTTTTTTTCAGTTTTTGGGGTTTTTTTTCGTGTGTATTATAATCGACTGAAAAACTCATGTTTTAGAATGTGTAAAATTATTTTTTAAAAACTATGAATTTGGAGAAATATATCGGGAAGAAAAATGGACCATCATTACTCTCTTAGAATAAATAGTGTTCATTTGAACAATTTTGAATAACATATACTCAAATCAGGAACGTATGATATATAATGTATTATACGTCCCTGCTCAAATGGATACTATATTTCTATAGTAAGAAATAAATTATCTCCCCTTTGTTGAAGAACGTTGATATTTATATACATTGTCTTTGGCTCCATGGTTCAGTGTCCAGTTGACTTGTCGAGAAGTACAAACTTACATTACCTGCCTCATCTATCTTATGTTATCCCAGAGCATCATTATGTCAGACTTGTAAACAAGTATGGATGGATGAATACTTTGCATTTGCTTTAAGATAGAGCTAGCTCACAGTTATGTCAATAAATGTGAATAAATAAATCCTTTGGTGAATGAATGAGTTGAAAAATGAATGTATGAATTACAAACTGAATGAATGAATGAATTACAGAATGAATAACAAACTAATTATAGACAGATCTGACGAATGAATGAAAGCCCTTTTACATGAGGACATATTTGTACAGATGCCGAAAACAGGGTCCAAACCCTGGCAGTAGTCTATATGTTTAAATGTTCGGGCAATAATACATTGACCCGAGAAAAAAGGATGGACAGTTCCATATCATAATACGTCTTTTATTATTTTATTTATGGAATTTTAAAAGTCTGGCACTTGAAGATTCTGATATGAGTTAATGCATTGTTCAAAATAAATGTCTAATACATGTTTTGTCTTTTTATAAAACATGTAGTCATTATTTTTTTTCAATATTCTTTGTCTGTTGATGTTTGACATTTTGCCACACTGTTTATGGACACACAAAACGTATGCTACGTTTATATAATATAGACACACAAATTATTGTATGTATCGTTTAAATGTATCGACAGGAGAGCAAAATTCTATTTATCATGTGACTCACCATTCTGAATTTCCTTGAAAGACAGACTTATTTCGACTTGGGTAGAACATTTTCCCGACTCTTGACGTGGATGTATATACAGATCAGTGATATTATGAAAATATATCAAGATCATTTCAATTGAGATAATGAGCTATGTGATTTTTTACTTGAAATATTATATTCTTTTATCATGCATATCGTAAACGGTTTAAAAAAAAATGGCATGAAATTGCAAGCAAAATGGTTTCATTAGCATATATAGCAAAAAATATCCATAATTCATTTATAGATATCCATTAAACTATTTACTAGTGTCCATTAAACTCTTTACTGGTGTCCATTAAACGGTTTACGGAAATCCGTAATAAGTGCCTTTTCACTTCTGAAGATAGTTCATGGCACTAGTTAAATTTAAAAACACTTTTTGTTTGTACCGATATAACTATTTTCGTTTTCAGTATGGTTAATAAAATCAGGAAGTAGGATGCATCAGATACGTATATTTATACATACATCCCTGGTTAGAGTTGATTTCTTTACAATAAAAAGTTCAACCTTCAACACATTTAATAGTGAATATTAAAATCATACTGGCTAGCTTATTCTTGTAAAACACGAATATATTATCTTTTTGATTTCCCTCTTTGATTATTCAGTACTATTACCATGAAATAGTCAGTACTATTACCATGAAAGCATTGGCTAAACATAAAATTAAGTCGGAGTTGTCTGACTTCTTCAAGAATATTAAAAAACAGTGAAAATCCTAATTTCTAAAAGTCCTGTTAAAGCTTTGTTTGGAGCATCTTGAAGTTTCAAATGCATTAGTCATAACGAACTTCAATTAAGTTTTAAACATATGCAAATTAGAAAATCGACTTTTTAAATGCTGACTAAGAAAAGAGAAATGTTATAAACGTGACAATTAGAACAATTATGATTACCCTGTGGTGCACCCCCCTCTAAATATTTCCGGAAATGAATCCGAAATTAGCCTAAACATTTGGCTGTTCTATCAATTGTATTGACTGACGGTGTCCGTACAAAATGCAATGCATTTGATAATATTTTCCTCAAAAAATATTATGTGGATCGCTGGAAAATTTGAATAAAATATTTTGAAATATTCACAAATTGTTTTTATCCTCTCTAGGGGTAAATACGTTTTCGGCTGATGTTTGTAGCATTCGTCCCGACCGTCAAACCTGTTACCTTACATCCGCCATTAGGTCCCTGAACTTGATGAGTGACTTTCCCGACTGAAGCTGATCAAAAAATTGTTGCTGGGTGTTTAAACTTGTAAGTATTGAAAATCACGTTTACGTGTTCTTTTATTCATATATCTATTTTTCATAGCTAGTGCTTTAGACCTGCAAGTGTTAATCATTCTATCTCGCCGACATCGGCAACAGCAGAAGCACCGCGCCCTGCTATCCGGCATCATGAACCGCTTCATTACAGTGGTGAATTATCACATTGTTTACTTGTTTGCATATTATTTGGAAGGTACTTTAAGCTGAAATTTCAATGCCTTGAATTGATATTGTGTACGGTTTAATGTTTACGTTATGATACAATGTTAAAACCAAATGGAAAGGTCGACTTGCATTTTTAATGAGGATGACATCATCAGAGTAGTCTCCCCTGGACCACAGATAAGACCGGGGTGGGTGTGGCAGGATGCATACCTGTCTGGAATGTTGTGTACGAGTTCCAAAACATATTATACACAAAGCTTTATTTCACAACAAGTCTCAATGAATCATACTTGCTAGCCAAGATTGACTGAAGTGTATGAGAAAATTTAATGGTGAAGTAGGTACAGGCATAGTGTTATCAAAATCTGTCTGTTCTGTCACATCCTGAGTCATTGTCATGCATTGATAACCTCTCAACAGATACATACTTTTTGTCTAGTGTTCGCTCTACAGCATACAAATTGCAGTGTAAATACAAACTCTCTAGAGGCACTTCGCATGTATTCAATATATTGTTATAAATTGCACCAGAAACACACAATATCAATCCAGTGGATGATCAAAGCTTTTAACACCAGCACTGAGGTAATTTCATTTGTCAAAGAACAATGTTGGAGTTTTTATTGAAAATCTATTTTATCAAATTGTAAGATCATCTTGTATGTGTTATTGTGATTCCTATGCATTTCTAGTCAAAGCAACAGTTTACTGCTGAACAGTCAAAATGGAGATCCGAGTATTCTATTCTTTGAAATTTACTAATAAAAGATGATCCATTATTACATTGTAGTACTCACTCTGATAGCCAGTAATTTGGAAATTTACAGGTGATGGTATAGGTCACGGAGGTCAGGTTACAAAGATCAGACACTATGAGCAGAAATTTTAAACCTCACAATTGTTAACATTGTATATTAGTCTAAGTCTGATATTGATGTGTCTGCATGATTTACTGTTACAAGCTGTTGGTTGGCTTCTGCTCTGAAACATGTGAGGTCAAATTTGCCTATGTGGTATTTCCAAGTTTGGTTCAGACCAGACTTAAAAGTGTTAAAAAATGTTGGAGCAATTGATTCCATATATCCACAACTCTGTACCTGACCTGTTAAACAGTAACAGTAATGTGAAAAGATTGAAACTTAAATTAATTTTAATTTGATAGTGCAAAAAAAAAAATTGTTTAACTGCAGATCATTAAGCCCTGTTTTAAAATGTTAGAAACTTTGTCATGACAAGAACTATCTTTAGAAAATAAAAAATGAAGTGTCAAAAGATTAAAAAAGAAAGAAATAAAAATAAAAAACCAACAATCACATGCCATTTCTAGAATAGTTAACTAATGTTGACACTGTTTTAATGGTTTAGCAAAAATGCTAACCAGATAAGTGGCTTGAACATTTTGAATCACAATCTTGAAAAGTGGTCTTTGGTACAAACTCTACATCTGCTATAGGATGTTAAAAATATTGTACTGTTTTGCACCTACATTGGTTCACATGCTGTTTGATCACACAAAACACACACGGGAACAGATATGGTTTCCAGAAAACTACCTACAGAACTAACAAATATAACAAATGCACTGGCAAGGTATGTACTTCTAATGTGCATCTTACTTTCACAATTACAATTTCCATGATTACTACTACACTTAATCTACATCCCGTTGATAATTTATATACATAACGCATAACAAGATACAAGATATGATTCAGTGTTATTTGATTGTTGGTAGACAACATATACCATGTTGTTTATTTATTGTATTGACAGTATTGGACTAACAGCACAAATCTCACTTACTCATCAGCATAGAAATTTAGAATAGCCAAGATGTAAATCAAAGGCTTGGGTGATGGCCAAGTCTCTGATCGTAGTGAACTCGGTCAGAAAAGATTAACATTCTTCACATATTCTAAGATATGCTATTGACTGCTACAATGTACATAAATAAGAAATGAAACCAGTAAGTAGTTTTACCGTGGTTTTGCCTATGGTCATGAAGATGAGGCATGGATATGGAAACTTGAACTGAGAGGGAAGGGCTTTTGCTGTACAGGACCAGATATAGGGTTACCCTTTCTGACTTGAGTTTTCATTTGTGATAAGTATCTTGTTGTACTTCCTGTCTTAAAATTTATGTGAGACATTTTTGTAAGTTCTGTTCCTGTTGTTGTTTTTGAAACAAAAATAGTCCCATACTTCTGACAGGTACGCTTTCATTGCATTTTTCAAAATCATACATCTATCTCTGGGTTCATATACCTCAATCATATGTACACTCTCGCAATGAAGTTGTCCATGGTATATAGGGATCTGCCCCTACATATAATCATTCATATGTGACTTAAACAATGTCACCGTTCTGAAGTCTGCATTTCTTGTTTAATTGTCATGATATTTCAGTCATGTGTTCACAAGTATCACCTCTTGAGCAATTAGTGTTTCAAGCTCGTGCAGTGAAAAACTAGGTCACAGTTACTGTAAGTAAAAAAATGTCACCACTCTACATACTGCATTCCTTATCCAATTTTCACAATACTTCACACATGTTTACAATCATCATCTCTTATGCGAGGTCACATTTAAACCTGCAGTCAAAAACAAGGTCATTGTTCAGTGATCAATCTACAGTATATTATCATGGGTCTGTTTCAACTCTTTTTTTTTTTCAACTAAAAAGCAATGTAAAATTTAAGTATTTCCAGAAATTTTGTGAGCCCCATGAAAATTCTATGAGTACAGGACTCCAGCATTGCAAGTAGATTGATCAGTGAGCATTATCATCAATGAAAAACGTGACATCACTGCTGTACAGGCAGCATTTCTTATTTGATTATCACGATACTTTACATGTGTTCACAGATGTCACTTCTTTGTATGATGCATTTCCATCAGTGATAAACTCATGAAACAGATGATATCCCATTTTGGGACTGGGGCCTGGGGCCCTTAGAATTGGGAAAAATAACGGTGTTTTCCTTAGAATTGGGAAAACTTGGGGTCTAAATTGGGAAAAAATAATACTATTTTGTATTGGGAATGGGGCCGATTCGGCCCCAAATCTGGCAGATCAAGAGCCATGTATCACTCTACATTTCCCTTTACATGTGTTTTTCTGAAAACTGTGGGGCATGAGGGTAATTGTATGTATTCTAAATTCCTTTTTGTCATCCACTCAGTTTTCATGTCTTTCGCATGTGACAGTACATGTACAGAAATATTGCTTTGTGACATTAATAGAACAAAATAAATTGACAGTACTAATCAGCACAAATAAGTAAAAAAAATGAAAATGTGTATCAAAACCAAATAACAGAACAGTACCCAATTGAGTTAGAAGATAATGCCTAAAAATTGTTATAGACATATTGCTTTGTATCACACACAAAGGGAACCTAATTTTGCCTGGATTAGAAATACAGAATTATGGGAAATTGACAGGGTAATTCTTTGTTTAGATCATGGCCTGTGCTATTGGGTATTAAAGATATTTTGTCTGATTATGGTAGTCTTATTATGGTAGTCCTAATTTTGTCACACTATGTAAGATAGTTGTATTGCGGTATATTTCCTACGCAAGATCTTGTTTTAAGTGCTTTAGACTGCTGCACCTGATCAATAGCAAACTGCTGCAGCATTGTAACCATAACAACAAGCACACTGGGCCTTCAGACTGGAACACCTTTATCTCCTACTACGCTGACAATTTAATCAATAAAATATAAAAAATTGAACCTCCACAAACCTTCTTTCATGCTTATTTTGGGCACACATTTTAGAGAGACTTTGAGAATGTCTGGCCGATATTAAATCTATGTAGATCCCCGGATGTGCTGTGTGTGTAAATGGAAGGCAGTGTTAACAGTCTAGCTGTGTGAATGAGCCCCATTGGAGCTCCAGGATCTATTGGAGAGGTCTGAGTCAGGCAGCTGCTGTAACCGCCAGATGTAGACTAGCAGACAGAGAGCTGGTATGTGTGGAATGCTACAGGAGATAGCTGCTGATAAGGATGCCATTATGATGGGGAGGATGCTACTCCTTGTTGATTCAGCTGTTGTGATGTTACTGGGACATACCCTTCCATCCCTCATGGATTGCAATGGACTCTACTGTGCAGTGTAATTTACATCAGAAAGAGATGTACTGAGATCAGTCCAATCCTCAATGAAGATGAGAATACATGTGTGTGTTCAAACCCATGGTTTAATCCCTACATTCCTGTAATAGACCCTCTGAAAGAAGATGTTTTATGGATATTTCAGAACAGTCTAAATTGTGCATAGGGGAGGCCTAATGGTATTGAAGAAGGCTTTGCCAAACCGTGCTGATGTATAGGTGTCCTTTCCTAGACCAACACCCAGACCTTTTTGTAATAGCTATTTTTGTATTGTTGGTGGCCTATTTTGTGTACTACGGCCTCTTCTGTCTGGTTCTCTATCTATTGATGCTCAATCGAAGACTGGCTAGAGCTAACAATGCTCACAGAGGTAATTTACCCCTGTAATTGAGATATTGATTACAAGATGCACAGCTATCATTTTAGAGCAAAATGATTTGAAAGGGATATTTCTACTATTCATATTAAAAAAAGAATTGTTGTAATGAACTTTTAGAGTAGAAATTTAGATTTAAATGAGGCTACCAGCAAACGTTAAATTGGTGGCCTTCTTGATTCTGGCAGCCTGCAGGTTTGATGATTCAGGCAGCCAGGGGGTTTGAGGATTCAGGCAGTCTGCAGGTTTGATGATTCAGGCAGCCTGCAGGTTTGATGATTCAGGCAGCCTGCAGGTTTGATGATTCAGGCAGCCTGCAGGTTTGATGGTTCTGGCAGCCTGCAGGTTTGATGGTTCTGGCAGCCTGCAGGTATGATGATTCAGGCAGCCTGCAGGTTTGATGATTCAGGCAGCCTGCAGGTTTGATGATTCTGGCAGCCTGCAGGTTTGATGATTCTGGCAGCCTGCAGGTTTGATGATTCAGGCAGCCTGCAGGTTTGATGATTCAGGCAGCCTGCAGGTTTGATGATTCTGGCAGCCTGCAGGTTTGATGATTCTGGCAGCCTGCAGGTTTGACATTAATTATATGAGTGGAAAAAAAGAATTAACTAACGGGTCATTCATCACCTGTTACATAAATGTACTATAATCCTCTGTTCACCTCAAAATTCCTGTCAGTAATGCATCGGATACAATTTTTTCAAGTTTTACATCCGGGTGTTTGAAATGTTTTGATAAAATTTGACCAAATTTTTAATGTGTACATGTATCATTGAAATATTTTAAGGAAACTTCTATGAATGTTTATATTTCAGGCCACACTAGTATGATAAAAAAGGAAAATATTTAAGTTTTTTTTAAGTTAACTTTTTAACAAGAAACATGAAAAAAGATAAATAGAGTTTCGCTATTGACGGTAATAAATTTTAAGACTGTTCTGTGGATTTGGTATTATGAAGATAAAGAATGGTCTGATATTTATAATTACTGGTCTGTATTGAATGCTAGGCTTATGTCAGGTGTGTTGAGTGTAGTTATAAGGCTTTGTTCATGTTGAACCTACAGCACTTGGGTATTTATACATGTTCCAAATGTGGCTGTACAAACAGAATCAACAAAAACAAATCTAAAACCTGTCAAAAAAGTGCACAGTAGTTAGAATATGATGTAAAAAGTTATAAAACACTCGTTTGAAAATTTCCCATTTTGATTTTTTTGCTTCATAATTAAAAGATCGGACATTATAAATGTTTTAAGGAATTCTAAGTCCGACTGAATTCCAAAAAACAAAAATGCTGCAATAACCAGATAGAAAAGTGCCATCGGTAGGACTAACTAATGATGTACTGATTATGTCTTCCTTGACCAAGCCTAGGTTGTACTGACATCGGAGATATATCCAGCTGTTGGGGGTCAGAGGGCATCTATCTTCAGGGCCTGTTGTCCTGCTGTGGAGGACAGATCTTCTGTACACCCCCCTTGTTGTCTGACTGTGGGGTCAGAGTGCTTTCCTCAGTATTCCCCCTACTAGGATCGTGATCAGTTACCAGTACTGTAGTCTGAGGGTGTGTGTGAGTGTAAATATCAGTAGTGTTGGATTATCTATAAGTACTGCTTCATGTTGCTGTAATGGATATCAATGTAAGTATGTGTAGGATGAGGTCATTTTTTGGAATGTGGGAAAAGATTTTAAGTTGAAATATTTTTCATCATTTGTTCAGTTCATGTAAGATGTTGTTTTCCTGACTTGTCCTTTAACAATGTTGTACCACACCTACATGCTGAGGATATGTCTGGAAATTCCTTACGCTTCTATGTATAATTACTAACACCTTGTATACAGTAATTACATAGATCTGTTTTAGAAAATGGAAATAATAACATATCCATTCTGTAACATATTGACTGTGAAAATGAAATAAAATATCACACATGCAGATAAAATCAATAATATATATTATTATTGTACTCTGTCACAGTATTTGTTATACCCACGTATGTATGATTATTTATTTTAACGAGTAACATGTGTATGTATAGTGTGGTATGATAGCCAGGTAGATGAAAGATAAGCTTTGTGTATCCTGTAGTCTGTTCAGTAATGAGTATTGATTCATGCAGCATTCGGCACCACCAGACTGCTTTGGCACATCCATGCTGAATCATCAAGTCAGGATCTAGGAATATGACTGGAGTTAAATGTACATGTGTGTAGATAGTTATTTACCAGCAATGCTGGACTGTTAAAAAATACTTAGTCCCACTGCTAATCACCTCATAGTGAATATAATGTTCTGCTTTAATATAAAATATTAAGCTAATGTGAGTCCCACTGCACATCTTCTGTTATATCAATGACATATTATTCACATTTAGAGATTAATAATTAAAATATTGACGATGGAGTCAGTATTCATATGGAGGACACAGACCAATCACATTTAGAGATTAATCACTAAATCATTGATGATAGGAGAGTCAATATTCATATGGGGGACACAGGTAGACCAATCTCACTTAGGGATTAATCACTAAATTATTGATGATTGGAGAGTCAATATTCATATGGGGGACACAGGTAGACCAATCTCACTTAGAGATTAATCACTAAATTATTGATGATTGGAGAGTCAATATTCATATGGGGGACACAGGTAGACCAATCTCACTTAGAGATTAATCACTAAATTATTGATGATTGGAGAGTCAATATTCATATGGGGGACACAGGTAGACCAATCTCACTTAGAGATTAATCACTAAATTATTGATGATTGGAGAGTCAATATTCATATGGGAGACACGGGTAGAGCAATTCCTTTTAGATATTACTAAATTATTGATGATAGAGACAATATTCGTATGAGGGACACAAATATACTGGTTACCTTCAGAGCTTATTCACCAAATTTCTATTTGCTGAATAGACTTGAAACTTTTTGACATGTTTTGTAATCTATGCTCTTATATTTAACTGACGATTGAATGTAATTGCCCAACTGTAATGTTCCAGGTAAAGTCCAATATGACAGAGATGAGTTTTGTTTGACTGTATACAGTCAATATTCACATTTCCAAGAAAACAAGAAATAGAATGAACTGGTATAGACGGAAAATTTAATTGTTTCAAAGTATTAAACCTACCAGGAACTGGGACTGAACGTCTCATATTGGCATAAAGGTTTATGGAGACATTGTGGTCTATCTTCTTGAGTATCACAAGTCTCATCAATACTCCTTGTTCATACAGTATGTAATAATACTTATGCTTTTAGTCTGTTTTTCCATATTTCTGTCTTGCATTGTTTCAGAGCGAGGACGAGATGACGACGGAGGTTCAGCCTCGCGAAATCCGGATCCTTGAGACCGCGGAGGATATTCAGAGCCGCAGAGAGGAGGTTTTATCCCGCTATTCGAACTTCAAGGATGCCTGCCAGGATAGGAGGAAGAAGCTAGAAGATTCTCGCCGATACCAATACTTTAAACGAGATGCTGACGAACTCGAAAGCTGGATCTATGAAAAACTGCAGACAGCCTCGGACGAGAGCTACAAAGATCCAACCAACCTGCAGGTGAGAAGACATACTTCGGATTATTATAAGATATTTCTTTGTGTTCTGTTAGGTGTGTCAAGGACAGCTTTTGTCATGCCTTGGATCAGCTGAAGAGTTGGGTGAGAAAAAGACAACAATGTTTACATCACATGTGTAGTAAGTTTCTGTCCAGAGATATCCTATATGTCTTGAGAAGATTAATCAAGTTCTATTCAACAGGGATTCAAACATGTTCAACTTACTTCATGGAAAAGTGTTGTTATCTTATTTAGAGGAAAGGATGCTTAGTATGTATATTACAGTATTTTCCTATTCATTTGACAGGCAAAGATCCAGAAACACCAGGCTTTCGAGGCTGAAGTTGTTGCCCATGCCAATGCCATTGTAGTCCTCGACAACACTGGCACAGAGATGATTGACCAGGAACATTTTGCATCTGAAATCATCAGGGTATGTGTATTATTGTAGGGAAGATTTTCTGTATATACTGGTTTACATACCTAATTATGAACCTTTAATATACTTGGTTAAATTGATCATGTAAAATTCAGCCAAGGAAATTTATCTGTGATATTTACAGAAGATATTCATATATTTACAGTTAGTTGCCCAGGATATTTATATGTTTACAGTTAGTAACCCTAGCTGATATTTAGATATTTACTGATAGTAGCCTTAGTTGATTTTTGTGTATTATTTTAGAAGCTTAATTGATATTTTACTCTGTAGGCCCGTTTGGATGAGCTCCATAGACTGTGGGACCTCTTGATGTCCAAGCTCTCAGAAAAAGGCTTGAAGCTGAAGCAGGCACTTCGACTTGTACAGTTCATGAGAGAGTGTAATGAAGTAATGTTCTGGATCAGTGATAAAGAGGCTTTCGTCTCTTCTGAGGAATTTGGACAGGATCTCGAACACGTAGAGGTTCTACAGAAGAAGTTTGATGAATTTCAAAAGGTATATATGTCTCAAATTTACCGACGGTAACATCATATTTCGAAAAGTATTGATCAATAAGGTATTGTTTTTTATCTTTCTGATTTTAAGGACAAGTAATACTATTTACATTTTCTGTAATAATAAAAACATATATGTGATGAAAATTGTTGTGCTAATACTCAGTATCGGCTGTTAAGATAAATATAAGGAAGAGTTTAGATGGATGCATCATACATATTTCAATCGTTTATCAGGATCTACAAAATCATGAAGACAAAGTGACAGAGGTAAATACCCTGGCTGAACAACTCATCACAGATGAACACCCAGAGGAGACCACTATCAGAGCCCGCCAAGAGGTAAGTTTTCCATCTCAACAAGTCTTAAATATCGGAATCAAATAGAAATATAGAGATTTGAGCCGACTCTCTGTCTGATGAGTCCGAGACTCTCTTCCCACACCCCAACGCCCCACCCCTAAGATACTGTATAGTTAGTAATACTCACAAGGGATATTATTTCGTTGTATTCACAATCAACAATGATAGAGCAAAATGAAATACCCAGCAAACATTTCTACAGAGAATGAAACCCCTGAAAATATCTTTAATGCTTGTAAAGTTGGACACCAAGTTATAGTTAAGCACAAAATATAACAGTGAACAAGCCAAAACTGAAACTACCTAAAAATATTATCCCTGCCATATTAAACAACTATACAATATTGCTGTTACTTATTGCTTAACTGCCTGCTCCCCTGGCACTCCGTAGGTGTTTCTTACTGTACAATAAATCAGCTTGTACATACAATCTTACGGACAACACTAAGTAGGTGAATGATAAACAATGTAATGTTACCATCTACATTATTTCATCCACAGGAGATAAATGATGCATGGCAGAGGCTGAAGCAGCTGTCCCTACTGAGGCAGGAGAGGTTGTTTGGTGCCCATGAAATACAGCGGTTCAACAGGTAAGGAAGTGATAGCCATATTTGATTTGGATTATTGAATTATTATAAACAAATAAGCGTAATAGAGTTGTCATTTCTTAAATAGTTAGCATTTTGAAAATAAGATGAACAGTGGTACAGTACAGTAGTGACATAGTATTGTTAACCTGATGACATGGTGTTGTGGTTTTACAGAGATGCAGATGAGACTATTGCCTGGATTATGGAGAAGGATGTGATTTTATCATCTGATGATTATGGCCGAGATCTGGCCAGTGTACAGGCCCTACAGCGTAAACATGAAGGGGTAGAGCGTGACTTGGCAGCCCTTGAGGAAAAGGTAAGTTCTGTCCACAACTGTCTGATCATATGTTTAATCCATTGATGTCCGTAATCATACACATCATTGAAACATCACTGTCTGTGGTCACCTTTCATTGGTATTTGTGAATGCTTTAAATGGGTGTCGCTGATTATAGATACTAAACTGCATATTCCATTTTGCAGGTGACTATGCTGGGGAATGAATCTGAGAGATTGATGGACATCCACAAGGATCAAGCTGGACAAATCAGTAACAAACAGACTGAGATTGTCGACAACTGGGAAAGACTCAAAAATAAGGTAACATCACACTTTATAAATTTCCAGAATTACTTTTAACCTTGCCTCAAAATCTCTTTTACTGTATGTAATTATACAGAACAGTTTATCCTTCATTACTGTATGTTGTGACAGGGCTCTGAGAGAAAAGCACGTCTAGACGATTCCTACTACCTTCACCGTTTCCTGGCAGACTTCCGCGACCTCATCTCATGGGTACATGACATGAAAGCCATTATCTCTGCTGATGACCTAGCCAAAGACGTAGCAGGGGCTGAGGCACTTGTTGATCGCCATCATGAACACAAGGTAGGTCTAACATGTAGTTAACTTCATCTTTACCTTGCCATTGGTTTTACCTCGGTGAATTCTCCTAGAATTGATTCTTTGGAACAAGTATATAAAAGTTTGGAATATCGTAAGTTTACCTGTATATCTGTTACTGATGATGTCCGTTTTATATTTCCAGGGTGAAATTGATGCCCGAGAGGATAGCTTCAAGACAACTGCAGAGGCTGGCCAGAGACTGGTCAATGCTGACCATTATGCTGCTGATGAAGTTAGGGATAAAGTAAGAGTTTATATTGAATGTTTTATTAAGTGTGCTAATATTGTTCATTTTGGAATGTCTTGATATCAGTGGAATTTTGAAACGATGTCTTGATTTGAAATATGTTTTTTTTTTTGTGTGTCAGCTTTCGGTGCTGTCGTCAGAGAAGGCTAGCCTGCATGACCTGTGGGAAGAACGCAAGATTCTGTATGAACAGTGCATGGACCTTCAACTCTTCTACCGTGACACAGAACATGCAGATGCCTGGATGACAAAGCAAGAGGTGAGTTATTGGATATGGAACTTGACTTATGTTTGGCTTACAGTAACTATTATAATATACCCTAAATACCAGTTTAATAATAGTTCTGATTTGATATTGCCAATATATTTGAAAAATTTTGCAACTTATCATAGAAATTTTTTTGAAATAAATTTTATATAACTTCCTTATAAAAAAGTTATTTACACTTGTATTTAAACATACTTACTAGCCAAAATGAAAGCCTACAGAAGTTCTTATGTATCCTGTCATGGTTTGTTGCAGGCTTTTTTGGCAAATGAAGATCTTGGTGACTCACTAGACAGTGTAGAGGCACTCATCAAGAAACATGAAGACTTTGAGAAGTCCTTGGCTGCTCAGGAGGAAAAGATCAAGGTATTTAACAGCCTTACATACAATAGATTTTGCCAGTTCTTTATCTGCACTTAAGTTTAGCATTAATTCCTCATTGATGCATCAGTCCTCTGTATGAAGGCGTAGTAATTAATCAGCTCTTCTACAACAGTATTTATCAAATCAGCAGGCACTACATCAGTGAGTAGTTATTATTGAGTCAGCTCCTCTCGGCAGCGAGTAGTGATTATTGAGTCAGCTTATCTACAGCAGCGATTAGTGATTATTGAGTCAGCTCCATTCCATCTTTTGATTTTCTTTATATGACTCAATTTTCTGTCTCTATTGTAGCTCCTTGATGAGTTGGCCACGAAACTGATTGAGAGCGAACACTATGCCCAAGATGATGTGGCTGCCAGGCGAGACCAGGTATATTAATTATACTGTATCACAGCTTATTGTAACTAGCACAACGTCACAGGAGTCAGTGTCTTAAATATCAGTTACAAATTATTTCATAAATTGTTTGAAACATGAATCATACTTTGTTAAAATCACTTGAAATAACTTAAAAAGGTAGAATTTAAAACTGTACATAAAAGTGATGGTTTTTAAATATGGGTTTAAGTTGCCGCACAATCATCAATTTTAGTGGATCTTGATGTGACAAAAATTTTATGTTTAGTTACTGACAAGACGTACAGCTTTGTACGAGGGATCAGCTAACCGCCGCCAGATGTTGGAAGAGTCTTACAAACTTCAGACTTTCGAGAGAGACTGTGATGAAACCAAGGGCTGGATCAATGAGAAACTGAAGACAGCCTCTGATGAGAGCTACCTGGTAATGTATAATTTCTCTGTTCCTTTGTGGTGCTTTATTACCTCATAAGTTTGATGCTGGCATTAATGATCGTGTGAAATATCTAAATTGCAGTTGAGAATGAGTTGTTTTCGTTGTTTAAAGGATCCAACCAACCTGCAGACCAAAGTGCAGAAACACCAGAACTTTGAAGCTGAGTTAGATGCCAACAAGAATCGTATTGAGACGATCCACCAAACAGGAGAGCAGTTGATTGAGGAGGAACACTATGCCTCGGAGAACATTAAGTAAAATCTTTTTTCATTTCCAAACAAATATTTTATCTCCTCATTACAGTTCTTAATATTCTCAATACATCTTCTTGTGTACATTGGTACTTTTGTGAAACTGTTGATTGACATATTTGATTTTGATTACAGAGAACGTATTGATGAAATACAGAAGTTATGGGAAAGTCTACTATCACAAACAGACAGGAAAGGTAGGATTTGATTTTTGTAAATCTCTTCAGTTAAATATACTCATTTGATATTATTTTGAATCTGTAGATATTGCAACACTCTTTAAATACTATTAACCTTTACAGGTAACAAGTTGAAGGAGGCAAGCCAGCAGCAGCAGTTTATCAGAAATACAGAGGACATAGAAACATGGCTGTGTGAGATTGAGGGACAGCTGATGTCAGAAGACTTTGGCAAGGTAAGGTTACATACAGTATGTTGTTGTGGAACTCCAGCATGTTTTTCTCATTTTATTAGTATTCCATGTTTTCAAATGATGTTTCCCAAAACTAGTAGTTTTTTGTACGGTTTATATTTAGCTCACTTTTAGTAACTTGTCATATGTTAAGGTATAATATAAACTTCTTACAATCTGTTTTTAAGATATGTAATTGTGTAAACTATTAATCTACAAACAAATGACCTACTGAAAACAGCTGAATGAAGGTTGGTAACTGTTGTGCGTTAATTGAAACATTATTGGGAATAACCTTCAATTGATTGATTGATACAGATTCTAGTGAGTTGTATGATCTTGTGCTACCACTGATCTATATTATGACAAGTTTCGTTGTTGTAAAAGTGTTGTACAGTCAAGATATTGCCTTTAAAGCATGAAACTGATAAAGTATTTTTTCTATAGATGATTATTTTGTTTGACATTGAGCAGTATTTTCTGCTTAGTTTCGTGTTTTGCTTAAAACTTGAGTTAATTTCATCTGCAAATTGCTGTATTTTCGTTTGAAGTGTGTTTTGGCTTCTGAAAATTTCTTTTCAAACTTACCCTGTTTTATCACACTTTATACTGATGCCTTTGCTATAATCACCTTTTATTTGGAAAAAAAAGTAGTGAAGTTGTCACAGACATGACATCAGAATAAATATACCTAAATTATAAATTAAACATCAAAGGCTGCTGTTTTGTATTAATACCTTACTGATTTTATGAAATTTGTATTTCTCATTGGAATTTATCTAAGAGGGACAAAAGATCCTAACAATCAAGTATTGAAGTGGAGGAGCTTCAGTGTAACATATAACTGGTTATTTTCATGGGTTGAAATTTTTGCAATTTTCTTTTAAAACGATCAAATTATATTTCAACAAATCTGGATTTAAAAGGACATTGAGTACACATCTGTCTCATTATTTCTTTGATTAAATTTTTGCAATCACCGCAAAATTGTGGAAATATTGTCCCTGCTGAAATTACCAACTATATGGTATCTATTGATTCTGATTTAAATGGAAAAAGAAATAGACAAGAAATTGAGGAGTTATTTCAGTAAAGCATTGAAGCATGTCTTTAAGTGTTTGTCAGGTTGATTTTGTTTTTCCTTCCCTCTAGCCGCTCCATCGACATGTGAGTGCAGTACAAGTGTTTGGTTTTGTTTGCTAGCTTTCATTGCTTAATTACCTCAGTCTTGCTTGCTCTCTCAACATCCATTGTTTTTCAGCTGCACTAGTTTGATCAAGTGCCGTACTTGTATCCATAGACTTTTACATGTTGTAGTCCAGTGGTTTGTGCATGGTCTCGATATAACAAGCATATCAGACCAGCTCAAAATAAATTCTGAGGTAAAAAGATAGAAACAGCTGTGCTGCTAGCAAAGCTTTAAAATGAACAGAGATTGGAAATTATTCTGGGTAGTAGTGACTAGAGTAGTTAGTAAGGTGAAGGTGACCTCTAGTGAAGCTCTCGTATGTAGCTTTTACTTACTAATATATTTTTAGAAAATTTACAAAATAGAAGATTTAGTTATGTTTATACTGTAAAATTGAATACTTAATTTGGTAGGAAATTTAACAACTTTGGCAATGTTTTAATAAACAATGGTAAATGATGGATATAGAAAGATTTTGGCCGTGTTGGTACCAGTCTGTACAATATCCCACCACACCCACCACTTTACTACCTGCTAATTTTTGTCAACACCTCCCTGCCACACTACAGCACTAAGATGTGGACACACTTCCTTCCCAAACTTCAAAATAGGTTTTGGCCTCCCTACTCTGAAAAGTAGGGTGTGGTGACACCTCCCAAGTACAATACACATTATGACCCCACCACACTACAACACAATGCCAAGACACGTCCCCACTCCACTATAACACACAGTGTCAAGACACCTCCCCACCACACTACAAGACAGGGTGTCTAGACACCTCCCCACCACACTACAAGACAGGGTGTCTAGACACCTCCCCACCACACTACAAGACAGGTTGTCTAGACACCTCCCCACCACACTGCAAGACAGGTTGTCTAGACACCTCCCCACCACACTTCAAGGTAGGCTGTGTTAGGAGGCCTCCCTGCTTCCAGATTGATAGGCTGAGAAAATTAATCTACTGTATAATATGATTTATGATATACATAAGAATTACGTTGAACTCCATATTAGGCCTAAACTTCTTGCTGACTCGTAATGCTTACCTATTTGAAATATTAATTCTATTCATCTGTTCACTAAACATCAATGGACTACCCAAGTTGTCTCTATGTACAATAAACATGAAACCTTTTGTTATAAGATTTAGCTTAGATGTATTAACGTGTGTGATCACACAGGTGTGTAACTATCACCAGAGCTTCTTTGTGTTGTGTGCTGTGCATTACTACTGTTGTCTGTTCTCAAGATTAACTTCCTTTGATCTGTGTTGCATTGCAGAATCTCATAAAAGCCTTAGAATTGAGCTTTTTAAGTCAGTTAAGCATCCATGAAATAATGGCTCTGCAAAGGTATATAATTAAACCTTTATCAAAAGGAGGAAGCTTCAGATTCCTAAAGTGCTCTTTTGTGGTGTAAAGTATTCACCAAAACAAACCTGTTCTACCAGTATCACCCACGGCCCCTGGAAAGAACTAGCAGGATTTAAGGGGAGAGATCTAATATAAGGATCCTCGTAACTTACTGGCGAGCTTGAAGGATATAGATCCTATCAAGAGGTCTCATAAACTACAAGCAGGCTTGAGGGGTACAGATCTATATAGGGGCCTAAAGTTACTACTAGCAGGCTTAAGGGGTACAGATCTATCTTGGGGCCTACAGTTACTACTAGTAAGCTTGAAGGGTACATATCTATCTTGGGGCCTACAGCAACTTCTAGAAGGATTGAGGGGTACAGCTCTATCTAGGGTGAGGGGTACTCATTTATCAAGGGGCCTACAGTACTTTGTAGAAGGCTGGAGGGGTACAGATTTATCCTGTGGTGTAAAGAAACTGCTAGAAGACTTGAGGGGTACAGATATATCTAAGGACCTGGAGTAGATCTATCTTGGGCCTACAGTAACTACAAGAAGGCATGAGGGGTACAGATGTGATCTTACGGCCTACAGTAATTTCTAGCATGCTTGGGAAGCTGTTCAGTATAACTGATCAAAGGGACTTCAACATTTTGAAATATTCACTCTTTCTTTTTGGGTGATTCACTCTTCAAACCAGTAATGTTGATTAAACGTAGACAGTTTATAACCAGTTGAATAAGAATTTAGTGAGTTTAGCACATTAATTCAATCTGGCTATCAGAACATTTTCAAGTGATCTTTCCACATGATATTTCCAAATACAATATCTGTAATTTGATTTGAAATAAAATCCTATCCATATTACTAATAAGTTTCTTGGCATGTTTTAAGTATGAATATGTATCCTTACATTTTTCGTTTTATGCATGCTATAAAAAAAGTACTACCTTATTATATAGATGTATTATTATAAACCTTATTGACAATGTGACATCACAGTTTGTTTTATCTATGTAGGATTTGACCAGCGTCCAGAACCTGCAGAAGAAGCATGCCCTACTGGAGGCTGATGTTGCTGCCCATCAGGTACTTATTCCATCTTATACGACAGTTAACCTGTTCAGTCTCTCATACTGACCTTATCCCATTATATATCTAGTTTTGTATACTGACCACATCCCAGTATTTGTCCAGTCTCTCATACTGACCACACCCCATTAAATGCTTAGTCTCTCATACTGACCACACCCCCTTATGTGTCCAGCCTCTCAAACTGACCGCACCCCATTTTTTGTACAGTATCTCATATTGACCACACCCCATTATTTGTCCAGCCTCTCATACTGACCACACCCCATTATTTGTCCAGTCTCTCATACGGACCACACCCCATTATATATCCCGTATCTCTCAGTGACCACACCCCTTGGTACATGAGCTTACTGATATTGTATTTTCCAGGATCGTATTGACGGCATTGTGATCCAGGCTGATCAATTTGTAGAGTCTGGACATTTCGACGCTGAAAACATCAAGGCCAAGCAAATACAAGTCGTACAGCGGTATGAAACTCTTCAGGTAAGACAGTAAAAAGGCTGCTGGATCTTAGTGCAAAAATCATAAGATAATTGTATTTGGTGTTCAGTTAAATGGAAAGTTGATTCCAATTTTAAGACAGCTGATAAATGGAGACAAAATTTGATGATTATAGATAAAGATATCAAGTGGTTGTATTCTTTGTCTATAGGAACCAATGCACGATCGTAAACAGAAGCTGGAGGATGCACTACGCCTCCAACAGTTTCTCAGGGATGTCGAGGATGAGGAAGACTGGATCAGAGAAAAGGAGCCAATCGCATCCTCTACCAACAGAGGTAGGTCAGAGGTCAATCCTGTGGAAGCTCATATTCAAGTCTTGGACTGAACCTAGCTGTTAGCACCAATCTTTGTCAGTTTAGAGATTTTAGGTCCTTGTTAGATAGAGCATTATCCTTGTTATTAAAAAGAGGAAAGGGAAGCTGTTTCATGTCTCATATGTCTTCCTCTGGTATTTTAGAATAATATCAAAAGAGATCCAGACTCTGTTAGTCCTCTTTTCAGCCAAAGAAGACCTACATAAATGATGTTTCCATGGTTTTAAACAATTAATAATATGTCACTGCATGTTGTGGTACAGGTCGTGACTTAATTGGGGTCCAAAACCTGCTCAAGAAACATCAGGCTCTTCAAGCAGAGTTAGGAGGTCATGAACCACGTATCAACAATGTCTGTCACCATGGTAATGATATGATCAAGGATGGACATTTTGCTGCCAAGGAAATCAACCAGAAAATTGAAGGCTTGCAGGACAAATGGCAACAGTTGAAGGTATCTATTTTCTACATCAGTAAGAGGTTGAGAGTTGCTCATTCAACTCATTGAAATAATGGGAAAACAATACAATTTTTATGGCCTTATGGTTTAAGCAACATTTAAACATGATGTTGTATATACCCTTACAGGACAAAGCTTTCCAGAGAAAGCAGGATCTAGAGGACTCCCTCCAAGCCCAGCAATACTTTGCTGATGCCAATGAGGCAGAGTCATGGATGAGAGAAAAGGAGCCACTCGCTGCTAACACTGATTACGGAAAAGATGAGGACACAGCTGAGGCACTCCTCAAGAAACACGAGGCCTTCATGGCTGACCTTGAAGCATATCGATCTGTGGTGGAGGGCCTTCAAGAACAGTCCCAGGCCTGCAAGGTATAATGGTTTTGTCAGACTTCGAGAATTTTTTAATATAAGTGTAACACATTGCACTTTCATGGTGATGTAAGTGATATATATTTTAGGATGGTCACATTGTGTAAAGGTATAGGCATAAATGAAAAATAATTTGCTCAGTTTTCAGCATTCCTGTTTACCTCATAGAATTTTTTACTCCCAAATTTCCTCTTATACCCTATTTTCTAGATTCTTTAATAATGAAATAATCATTATTACCCTCAACTTTCAGCTACTGTTGGAATTCTGAATTTATAAAAACTTTTGTTAAAGATATTTTCAAGTAATAGTCATTCATAATAACAAAGTGCAAGCAGATTTTGTGTTTGTTGCTTTGTAACCGTTCGTTTGTGTTAATAGCAACAGGAAGCTCCAGTGGTGGACGACCTTGGCACTGAGAAGGTGATGGCTCTATACGATTACACAGAGAAGTCACCCCGTGAGGTCTCGATGAAGAAGGGAGATGTACTTACACTCCTCAACTGTGCTAATAAGGTAAAACAAAGCTATTATGATAGTAGATTTTTATTTTTTTTTTGTAAGGTGTAAGCCTCAGAAGGCAGATAGTTTTCTCTGAATTCCTTTATAAATTTCATTTTTCCAATGTTTTTGTATAATGATTTTTCTCACACCCTAGATTTTAAATGAAGTCCTCCTTTTTGTCTGGTGTCTAAGATAGTGTTATTATATAATTACAGGACTGGTGGAAGGTGGAAGTCAATGATAGACAGGGATTTGTACCTGCTGCTTATGTCAAGAAGCTTGACCCAAGTCTGTCAGCAAGCCGTAACAACCTGATGGATGAGTTCACCATATCTGTGCGACAAAATCAGATCGAAACACAGTAAGTCATTAAAAACGGAGTGTCATACAAAGGTAGTTCATAATCGAAACCCAGCAGCAGTAACTTTCATTTTTATCCCTAAGGAAAATTCTTATAAATACAAAATTATAAAAGGGTTATTCGGTTTCATTTTTATCCCTAAAGAAAATTCTTATAAATACAAAGTTATAACAGGGTTATTTGTTTTGAATATGTAGGTTGAACATTTCTCTCTTACTGCTGTATTTTTCTGCCCAGGTATGCGAATCTGTTGGACCAAGGAAACCAGCGTCGTGAGAAACTCCAGGAATCATGCCGTGCCTACCAATTGGTGCGTGAAGCTGCTGAACTGGCCTCATGGATCACAGAGAAAGAAGGCATGATGGTTGGTGATGAAGTCGGTGAAGACTTGGAACAGGTGGAAGAAATGCAGAAGAAATTTGATGACTATCAGAAGGTTAGTGGAGTGTCCTACTGTATCAATCCAGTCAATAACCTATTTATAACAAGTTCAGGCCTCTTTTTAAATGTAAAATAAAGTATTTTCATTTGTTGTGTTTGTTTGACTGCAGTATAACATTAAGATATTGTTGTGTGTAGGATTTGAAGCAGAATGAAGCAAGACTTCAGGAGCTGAATACTATTGCTGACAAGCTGACGGCCATGGGTCGTACAGAAGCCGCAGAGAAGATTCGCGAACAAATTGCTGTAAGTTTGAGAATACATCTCTTGTTAAAACTGTTAGGGTCTTTCAAAAGTTATTTTTGTAAATTTCTTAAACAATGCATTGAATTTATTTTGTAATGTAACCTTAATATGTCACCTATATTTTTGGATTGTACAAATAGACTTAATGTTTTTAAAAGTGTCAACATTGTATTTACAACATACCTCTTAAATATGTTTTTAATAATAAAACCTAATTAGTAGATTTTTAAAGTGAAATGTTATCTACTTTTTACAGACACTGAACAACAGATGGGAGAACCTTCAGGCAGTGACAGCAGTAAGGGCAGAGACCCTTGGGAGTGCCCATGAAGTCCAAAGATACCACAGGTAAACCATAAATCATCTTGGGAGGGCTCACATTGCTAAAGACAAAAGTCTTCTCGGGAGGGCTCACATGGCTAAAGACAAAAATCTTCTAGGGAGGGCTCACATGGCTAAAGGCAAAAGCCTTCTGGGGAGGGCTCAAAGGACTAAGAATGGAAGTTACCTAGGAGGACTCAAACGGCTATAAATGGAAGACACTTAGGGGAGGCTCAAAGTGCTTAAAGCAAGTTTCTATAGTGAAGGCTCACAGGCCTAAAAGCATGTCTATATGGGGAAGGCTCCCAGTGTTAAGAACATGTCTGTATGGGGAAGACTCACAGTGTTAAGAACATGTCTGTATGGGGAAGGCACACAGAGCTTAAAGCAGGTCTATCTGGTGATAGCTTAATGTTTGACTTTGATTCAACACTCCTGAGTTACAACAGATTTGACTTGAAATGATTGGTTTTATGTGTTGCTAGGGATGTGGATGAGACAAAGGACTGGATCAATGAGAAGGATCAGGCCCTCAACAATGAGAACTATGGTCATGATCTAGCCAGTGTACAGGCTCTGCAGAGAAAACATGATGCTCTGGAGCGTGACTTATCAGCTCTGGGAGAGAAGGTTTGTATTTAGGCAACAAGTTCAGAAAATATCAAACAGTTCAATAAGTAAAACATCTATCCTATATATTTAACTTACAAATAAATCAAACAATTCAATTGATCTGGCCTGTTTCCTTACAATTCAATTTCAGATATTCTAAGTAGCAATTTGGAACTCTGGAGATATGTACTAGTTGGGGTCTGTGTTAGCTTTATGTTCTCCTGATGATGCTAATATTGTATTTGTTGTAAACAGGTACGCGACTTAGATGAGAGTGCCAAGCGTCTGATGCAGACCCATCCTGACCAGGCTGAGCAGATCTATGAACACCAGACAGAAATCAATGAGCTATGGAACACACTGACTGCCAAGGTATACATTCTCAAGATAGTTTAGTGTAGTGGCTGACAGAAGGAATGTTAACAGGTGTTTATTGTATCTGGCTTTAAGAAGAAATATATAAGTTTATCTTTTACACACCTGTCATCCCTGTAGCAACTGTAACAGACAATACAGGCCAATAAGGATGATTATTATGATAACTCCACTATTGTATAATAGAGAAATGTTTATGTAACAAAGTCATTAAGTTTTTGTTGCTAGTAAAAAAAACTGTGACAAATTTTCTTCAAATTTCTCGAGTGTCCTGACCTTCATCACAAATTTTCCAAGTGCTATTATCAGTGCAAGATCAAGCTTGCTATCTACTGAAAACAAATACAAGGACAGAAGGAATTTTTACTTAACTGACTATTTCTAGTGTTGTTATAAGGACTGAGGGTATTGACAACCCTGCTTGCTTTCACTTTTGTTGATACACATGGTTTTCCAAAATGAAAAATTCATTGTGTCCTTGTTGATTGATATTCAAAAAACATTAAATTAATAAATATCTTTAAATGTTAATTCTCTGTAATTGCTGTTGTGTCTGTTCCATGTATGAAATGAGATAATTAAAAGAAATGTGTAATAAGGAGCTATATGTGACCTTTACCTTGTAGGCTGATGCTAGGAAATCTAAATTACTGGACAGTTATGACCTCCAGAGGTTTCTAAGTGACTACAGGTAAATATCCATCTCAGATTTGTGTGGTACTTATGAAGTCAAAGATACATGTTGGAAAATGATTTTCACTTTCTGTCCTTTTTTATTGACCAATGATATGCTGGTTGTTTCTATGTTTCTGATACTTCTGCTATTGTTTTGTAGAGACCTAACCTCATGGATCAACAGTATGATGTCCTTGGTGTCATCAGATGAACTCGCCAAGGATGTGACTGGTGCTGAGGCCCTGCTGGAGCGCCATCAGGTAGTTACCAACCTTGTCGTGTTAAAGGCTCTATAAATCATTCCCTCCAAAGTCAATCATTATTTACCGAAAGGCATGGAACAATATAGAATCTTTTTCTGCAATACATCTGCCATTGGAGTTCGGAATCTGCAAGCTTTTTCCACAGTTCTCTCTCTGAAGACTGAAAGCTTAAACCTGGCCCACTGTAGTTTAGATGTATAGCTTTAGCTTTCTGCTACACTTTCTAAGTGTTCTGGACCTGACAAAAGGATAGAGTCCATACAATGAGACAGGGACTACTGTCAGGCATTCCTCAACTGAATGGATAGCACCAGACTTTCATCTGTTCTCACATATCTGTAACATGTAAGTTTTGTATATAGATATTGATGTAGATGTAGCCAGTGTGAGGGCTGTACAGTACAGATTTAGCCAGTGTGAGGGCTGTACAGTACAGATTTAGCCAGTGTGAGGGCTGTACAGTACAGATTTAGCCAGTGTGAGGACTGTACGGTACAGAGTTAGCCAGTGTGAGGGCTGTACAATACAGATTTAGCCAGTGTAGGGCTGTTCATAGATAAGCCCATGTTAGGATTGTACAATAGATTTAGCCCATGTTAGAGCTGCACAATAGACAGTCTGTGTTAGGGCTGTATAATAGATTTAGCCTATGTTTGGACCGTACAAGAGATTAAGCCTATTAAGGCTGTAGGATGGACTTACCCTGTGTAAGGGCTGTACAATATATAAATATAGATTTAGCCAATGATGGGACTGAACAGTATATTTAGCCTATTTTAGGGCTGTGTGGAAGCCCATGTTTGGGCTGTGTGCTATTTACTGGTGTTTTGTTGGTAATCACCTATCCTTTACAGATGTTCAGCTCTGAGATTGTCAGCCATTACGGTATCACGCAGCTGCCCACAGAGGAAGAGATTGAGGAGCTGGTACCATATATTTCTCTCTACAGATCGCACGCCGCCCACCTAGCTACCATAGGCCAAAGCCTTGTCGCATCTTGATTATACACTGTGAAGCCTCTTCTCTGGTGTTATTACTTTTCATTCTCAGTAATTGTGTCAGAGACATATAATTGTTTTGTTAATGGTAATTTCTATGTTTTTAAAAGGGAAGTAACTCTGTTATATACAACAAACCCAGTCAAGATAGAGGCTTCACAGATTATTTTGATGTGGCTCTTTCGTACTTTTTTAAACATAAATAAGCTTTCATGCTTTAAAAGTGATTTATGAGGACTGTTTGGAATGAGTTACTCCGAAGGGTGCTATTGTAGCAATATGGGTGTGCTTATAAGTATACCTTTAATCTGATATCTTTTTGGCATTATACAAAGAAACGAAAGAGCTGCATGGAAAATGAATGGCTTCATATATATGACGGAAACGCTTGCTGATCATTGTGATGAGCATTGGTTCCTATATATGATTCTCATACTTGTATATTTACTGTCATTTATTGATATATTGCATTGTCTTCATGAGTTGTCCGAAATGTAAACTTAAATCTTAAATAATCTCGGTACTTAATGTTAAATGATATGTGGGAGTGACATAACTCTCCATTAGGTACATATAGAGGACTTGGCCATATTCGTTTATCCTTTGACCAATGAGACCAGGATTATTTCGTTAAAAAGCAAATACGCACCCACTGATCTTGCGTTGCTTTCTGATGACCTTGAGACAAAGCTTTTTAAGATCTTAATTTTTTTTGCTGATCCATCCTGATATTCACCTAGGAATGTTAAATGTCTTCATAGATAAACAGGCTACTGGTTAAATTTAGGACGAGTGTTACCAGGCTATCTCAATAAACCTAACTAATGTGAAATAGTTCTTGATGACCATGTGTTCAGTTGACTACTGTTATGACCATGTGTTTGGTTGACTACTGTGATGACCATGTGTTCGGTTGACTACTGTGATGACCATGTGTTCGGTTGACTACTGTGATGACCATGTGTTCAGATGACTACTGTGATGACCATGTGTTTGGTTGACTACTGTGATGACCATGTGTTTGGTTGACTACTGTGATGACCATGTGTTCAGATGACTACTGTGATGACCATGTGTTCGGTTGACTACTGTGATGACCATGTGTTCAGATGACTACTGTGATGACCATGTGTTCAGATGACTACTGTGATGACCATGTGTTCAGATGACTACTGTGATGACCACATGTTCAGATGACTACTGTGATGACCATGTGTTCAGATGACTACTGTGATGACCATGTGTTTGGTTGACTACTGTGATGACCATGTGTTCAGATGACTACTGTGATGACCATGTGTTTGGTTGACTACTGTGATGACCATGTGTTCAGATGACTACTGTGATGACCATGTGTTCAGATGACTACTGTGATGACCATGTGTTCGGTTGACTACTGTGATGACCATGTGTTTGGTTGACTACTGTGATGACCATGTGTTCAGATGACTACTGTGATGACCATGTGTTCAGATGACTACTGTGATGACCATGTGTTTGGTTGACTACTGTGATGACCATGTGTTCAGATGACTACTGTGATGACCACGTGTTCAGATGACTACTGTGATGACCATGTGTTCGGTTGACTACTGTGATGACCATGTGTTCGGTTGACTACTGTGATGACCATGTGTTCAGATGACTACTGTGATGACCACGTGTTCAGATGACTACTGTGATGACCATGTGTTCAGATGACTACTGTGATGACCATGTGTTTGGTTGACTACTGTGATGACCATGTGTTCAGATGACTACTGTGATGACCATGTGTTTGGTTGACTACTGTGATGACCATGTGTTCAGATGACTACTGTGATGACCATGTGTTCAGATGACTACTGTGATGACCATGTGTTTGGTTGACTACTGTGATGACCATGTGTTTGGTTGACTACTGTTATGACCATGTGTTCAGATGACTACTGTGATGACCATGTGTTTGGTTGACTACTGTGATGACCATGTGTTCAGTTGACTACTGTTATGACCATGTGTTCGGTTGACTACTGTGATGACCATGTGTTCAGATGACTACTGTGATGACCATGTGTTCAGATGACTACTGTGATGACCATGTGTTTGGTTGACTACTGTTATGACCATGTGTTCGGTTGACTACTGTTATGACCATGTGTTTGGTTGACTACTGTGATGACCATGTGTTCAGATGACTACTGTGATAACCATGTGTTTGGTTGACTACTGTGATGACCCTGTGTTCGGATGACTGCTAAACTGTACAAGGACGACTGTTGGCTAAATAACTGTTATGATATATCAGTGTTGACTACACTAACCCTGGCATGAAGTGTAAACCTAATAACTCAGAAATCAGTTAGAATTGTGTGTTCGATCCCCTATAACCAAACACAGTAGGATTTATTAACAGTTTGATACAGCTTGTTGTGTGTTATTCCTATACCATTAGGAGGATGTATATGTTAAGGAGGGGTCCATAAAGCTGTTTGTGTTATTCCTACATCATAATGGGGCTGTTATAGGGCGTGTGCATGGGACCATAGTACTGTTTGAGTACTGTTTACTATATATTTAAGTGATAATAATATGTTAGCACTTTTCACACGGACAGGATTGTGCTAAAATATTATGGTGTCAACTGCAGTTTCTGTTTTTCGTTTTGATGCATATGTAGCAAATATTGTGGATGTGCAAATCCATCATTGGCCAAAATTGATTAAATATTAAATTGTATTTTTTTCCAAATTCACTAGATTAACAGTATATTATCCTTATAATCTAAAAGAGGGGATGTCACTCTTGGCACGCCTGAGGGAGTTTGGGGGGAGGAGGTGGCCATAATGCTGTGTGTTATCCCTGTTGTGAATGTTTATTTAGTAATATTTTACATTTGGGATGCATGATTTTGTTGCAAAATCAGTAGGTCAAACAGTAAAAAGTAAAGGTAGACCTATTTTCTCCTGTAAGGTTTCCTTGGATCCAGCATGTCCTCCAGATTTTGTTATAGACTTAGAAAGATTTGAAATGAGTGATGCTGTGTTGTTTCAAAAAATCCATTGTGTGAATAACAGAAACGTAAAATAGCATTTAAACTGACCACAGTTACTTGACCGGATTTTCTGTTCCAGATAATAACCTGTGTTTTATTTGTAGCATGCCAAGAGACTCGAGAATGTACTGTAGACTAACCAACTTTCTTTTCCAGAAAATTTTTTATTTTTCCACATATTTCTATTTCGCTATTGTTTAGTATTATTTCCTTTTTGTAGTATTTCATTATAACTGATAATCACTTTATTTGGTCTAGTGGTACAATTCGTTACTTTTACTTCAAGCTCACATTGTGTTAAGTAACTCGCTTTTACCTAATACTAATTCCTGATGAAGGGAATCTTCAAACATATTATTTAATCAGTATCATCCTACCATATGTGGATTTGGGGTTAAGCAATAGTGTTTGTAGGTACTAAGTTTCTGTGTACATGTTTACAGGAACATCGCACTGAGATAGATGCCCGTTCTGGAACCTTCCAGGCATTCGAGGTGTTTGGCCAGAATCTTCTTCACAATGAGCACTATGCAAGTGAGGATGTGTCTGGCAAACTGGAGGAGCTTGCCAAGGCTCGTGAGGAACTTGAACAGTATGTTTACTCTCACCTGTTCTTTCAAGGAGAAAAAATGAAACAACATATATTTGTTATAGCCTTCTCCATTAATTCAGCAGATAAATATACTGTAAAATCGTAAATGTTTGTGGGAATATATTTTTGGTTGATTTCACAGGTATTCGAAATCCATGAATTTGTATGTCCACAAAAAGATAAAAGATGAATATTGTGATCAAGATTCATCCAAAAATCGAGTACCAACAAAAATGTATATTTTTTGAAAACCCTGAAATTTTAGTCCCACCAAAATATATGACTATTGAAGTATATATTGTTACCTGTTATTGTAAATTCAACAGATGATATATTTGAGTGGGTATTGATGTAGTACTTGGTTTGTCACAGAGCATGGATTGCACGAAGGATGAAGCTGGACCAGTGCCTTGAGCTACAGTTGTTTTACCGAGACTGTGAGCAGGCAGAGACATGGATGCACTCCCGTGAGGCTTTCCTATCAGGTGATGCCGTTGATGGTGACAATGTGGAAACACTTATCAAGAAGCATGAAGACTTTGACAGAGCCATCAGTAGCCAGGTATATAATCCCTTAAGCATTACAGTCATATCAAAAACGTGTAAAATGATGAAATCTCGAAAAGTTTACTAACAAGTTTACCTTGATATGGAATAGTGAGAAAGTTAGACATGTATAAGTTGCTCTGCTTGGTTTTTTCAAAAAAGACAGAATCAACCAGCCTCTGGTTTTGACTTCCATCTCTATGTGTTTTCCTTGTTTCTTCTGTTTACAGCAAGAGAAAATCCAGGCACTACAGTTGTTTGCAGACCAGTTGATTGGTGGAGAACATTACGACAGCAGTGCCATCGCTGACAAACGCGATCAAGTCCTTGACCGATGGACCAACCTCAAAGATGCCCTAATAGATAACCGCTCCAAGCTGGGTGAGGCACAGACCTTGCAGCAGTTCTCGCGGGATGCTGATGAAATGGAAAATTGGCTCCAGGAAAAACTACAGATTGCTATGGATGAGTCTTACAAGGACCCTACCAACATACAGGTAAATGTGATTCTTTAGATGGTCAGCTCAATCTACATACAGGTAAGTATGATTCTTCAAATGGTCAGCTTAATCTACATACAGGTAAATAACATACAGTTTTAGGGTATCACCACCAACATGCAGATAACTATTTTTGGGATAATCATTGTAGCCCCCACAAACATACATGTAAATATCTGAGTGACCTGTAGCCTCACCATTATAGGATTGAAAATCCAGGTAAGTAGTAGCCACACCAGCATAGAAGTTGTGTTTAGGTCCATTGGTTTGAAGTTGACAGTCATTTAATAGTCATAAAAATAATTAGCTGGAGAGTAAAATGGAAGATATAAATAAAATGTTGATAGAAGATAGAAAGAAGATAGACAAAAATGTCAAATTTTTCTCCTTTTTTCCTCGAACCTCGAGACAATCCAATGGAAGATAAAGACAAAGATTCCAAGTTTTTCTCCATTTGTCCATGGAGGTAGGGCAGATTTAAGTAGAACGGTTGTTTAATTACTTTCTTGTTGTAGAGTAAACACCAGAAACATCAGGCTTTTGAAGCAGAGCTGGCTGCCAATGCTGACCGACTGCAGGCACTACTTGGCACTGGTCAAGGTAATAATCCTTAGCTGTATCTGTATATTGTAGTGACCAGAATTAGGGTCTGGTCATTGTATTTATCATTACAGTATATCGTCATTAGTATAGAATCATGAAATGAATACCATTTTACTTACATGTCTATAATTTAGATATCTTTTATAAGAAATTTAAAAGTGTATGAAATGTATGTATTTGTCTTTGAATTGTAGCTTTGGTTGTGTTGTAGTGATGATTGACCAGAACCAGTGTATAAAATATATGTGTTCTTCTGTATATTGTAGCATTGATTGACCAGAAGCAGTGTGCAGGATCAGAGGATGCTGTCCAGGCCAGACTTGAGAGTCTTGCCTCACAGTGGGAGACACTAGTGGCCAAGTCTGCTGAGAAGAGTGACAAACTGAAGGAGGCCAATCGCCAACAGACCTATAACGCTGGGGTCAAGGACATGGAATTCTGGCTTGGAGAGGTGAATTTCAGTCTTCTAATCAATATTTTAAAGCTTAATGTCACACAAATTATGAGAATGATTTAGGAAACTGATTTGTTGATAAAGTAAAACCAGAAAGGAAAAAAAAATTTTGTGGGGTTTAAGATACCTGCTCTGAATCAAATGTTTGTAACTACAGGTAGAGCAGATGCTTGGCTCAGAGGAGTATGGAAAAGACTTGTCCTCTGTGCAGAACTTGCTGAAGAAACACCAGTTACTGGAGGCTGACATAGCAGCTCATGAGGTATGGCTTGTCCTCTTTATTGGGGCTACTCCCATCCATTGTGTCCACTCCCATCTATTGTGTCCACTCCCATCTGTTGTGACCATTGCTGTCTATTGTGTCTGGTTAAAATGGCTATTGTAAGATTCACAACTAGCTTTTCAGGTGGACTTTTATGTCACCTTTCTTATGAAGTCTGTGTTTGCAAAAAATTTCCACTGATAATGGTAACAAGATTTTATCATTTGACAAATCTTCCTCAAATTTTTATAAATGGAATAGTGGATTTATGTTGTTTATCTCTACAGGACCGTATAAAGGACCTTAACACACAAGCTGACCAGTTCTGTGATGCTGGAGTCTGGGATGCAGAGAGTATTGAGACGAGGAAGAGGACTATCAACGAACGTTACGATAAGTAAGTGTCATTCAAGTACAAAGTGGCCACTTTGATAAAAGATTCTGTCTCAATGAAAGCTGTGAGTTGAGTTGAAAATAGTAGTCTTTGGTTTTGTTTTTCATACATAATCTTATTTTCTACAGAATCAAAGAATTGGCCATTGTGAGGAGGACACGCTTGAACGAGGCCAACACCATGCACCAGTTCCTCAGGGACATTGATGATGAGGAAGCTTGGATCAAGTAAGTTACTCCTTTTTGTTCATCCTGATCTAACAATTATCGCAAGATTTTCTTTAATCAATACCTGCAGGTACATATTAGTACACTCTTTTGATTTGAAAATTGTGTACCTTTTAGGATTATGGTATCATTTGTTTACCCTTTGTAATCATATTTAGATCTTTGGTCTGGGTTATATTGATACAATTCCTTAATGTGGTAAGAGTTCCCCTTCAGTTAGTATAAATATTGGTTGAAAATGAGTGCAGCTGGTGTAATATAGGGCTTGTTGGTTGATAGGGAGAAGAAACTGCTGGTTGGCTCTGATGACTATGGACGTGATCTTACCAGTGTACAGAATCTACGCAAGAAACACAAGCGTCTGGATGCTGAGCTAGCTACCCATGAGCCTGCCATACAAGTAAGCTATCGGAATCACGGAGAGTCACTCATTGTGGTTATCACAGTAAACAAGCTTGAAACCTTACCATCTTGTATACTTTGTATGTCAGTGTTAGTACACTCCACACTAGTCATTTGTCTGATGAAGGTGACCCTGAAGTCATCGAAACATCATGCTCAAATATTCTGCTGGTTGTGTAATAAGAACTTCTATATATTGATGTTACTGACCAGAGGAAAATGTTCCAAAATAAGCTTTTAAGTCTTTGAAACAGGAATGTAATGTCACTTGATGTCTGAGTAAGATTTGATTGAAAGTTTTATGATACAAGATCTTTTAGCAACTGTAATTCTTTTGTACACAGGCCGTGCAGGACACTGGAGCCAAGTTAATTGAGGAATCCGACATCAACACAGCTGATATAAAGGAACGCTTAAAACAACTTCAGGACAGCTGGGAAGAGCTCAAGTCCATGGCAGCCAACCGTGGCCAAAAGCTGGAGGAATCGTATGCCTTCCAGCAGTTCTCAGCCAGTGTGGAAGAGGAGGAGGCATGGATTGCTGAGAAGCAACATCTTCTGTCTGGTGGTGACCATGGAGACACCATGGCTACTGTACAGGTACATGGCACATGTTCTCAGTAACCAGTTAAAACAAAGGATAGACTATCAACAAATACCAGAAGTTTTGTAATTACTTTTGAAACAACTTCTAGTTCTTTGTTACTTGACATCCACCAGTGAAATATCTCTACCTAACATGACATCCTTTAGTGGAATATTTCTACTCGATATGTTTATTACCCTCTAGTGGAATATTTCTACATGTTAAACACCCTCTGGTATGTACAAGGCACTTTGAACTGATGTTACAGATTTGCCTTATATTAATGCTTATATTTTATTATCATTCTTCAGGGTCTATTGAAAAAACATGAAGTGTTTGAGACCGATTTCCAGATACATAAGGAACGATGTGAGGAGATCAAGAATGAGGGAGAAAAACGCATCAATGAGGTTTGTATTTGGCACCATCCAAACTGTGTCACTTGTTACATTTATTGTTAGAGAAACGGTATACATATATTATTGTAATTTACATTGTTTTTATCGCTATTAAAGCCATGCCAGATATTGTATCTTAAGGGTTTCATGTTGTCAGGGTAACCACAATGCTGACAGTATTGGTCAGAGAAACAGAGGATTGCAGGAGAAGCTGGATGCTCTGGACGCAGCTGCAGCAAGACGTAAGGCCGGGCTTATTGACAACTCTGCCTTCCTACAATTTATGTGGAAGACTGATGTTGTAGAAAGCTGGATCGCCGACAAGGAGACACAGGTTCGCTCTGATGATTATGGACGAGACCTTTCTTCTGTACAGACCCTCCTCACAAAACAGGTAAGGAATCTCTTTAATGAAACCTGTCTATCAAATTTGATAGATAATCTGTGTTTTATTTTATTCCAGATATAATCAAATGTAAATAGCTTAGTCCTAATGTAAAGATTTTTAATCTAGATAAATTATGATTTTTTTTGATATGAATTAATATTTGCATTTGAAAAATGAAAGTGATGTATTTTTGTTAGATATTTAGGTCCATGCCTCACACTTTGGTTTATTTGTTTCAGGAAACTTTCGATGCTGGTCTGCAGGCCTTTGAGAAGGAAGGCATCCAGACCATTTCTGCCCTGAAGGATCAGCTAATTGCAGCTCAACATGCACAGACAGCGGCCATAGAGAAACGTTACAATGATGTCATTGACAGGTGAGACAAGATGCTTTTAGAAATCAACATCAAAATGATATATTCATTCTCACATTCTAAAGTCAAAATTGATAGCATGAATCTTCTCGTCTCTGTTGGAAAATTACCTCAATACTTTGCCTTTGTGTAGAACAAGATGTTGATTATTTGAACATATCATTTGATTCTCTCTTAAAACTTAAGCCAGTGGAAGTTTTAAAAATTTTTTTGCATTGTAGGTGGCAGAAGCTCCTGAATGACTCAGATGCACGTAAGCAGCGTCTCTTGCGCCTCCAGGAGCAGTATCGGCAAATAGAGGACTTGTACCTCACTTTCGCAAAGAAGGCTTCAGCCTTCAACAGCTGGTTTGAGAACGCAGAGGAAGATCTTACTGATCCAGTGCGATGTAACTCGGTGGAGGAGATCAGGGTAAATAGTTTAGTGTGCTAGCCTATAACAAAAAACAAGTGATATTGTTTGCATTTAGTACTTTTTTTTTTTTAGATTTTTCATCGAAGGCCCACAACATTTAAATGTAATTGGTGTTGTTTTCTATACCACAGGCTCTGCGGGAGGCCCACGATCAGTTCAAAGCTTCTCTTAGTGCCGCCCAGGCAGATTTCAACCAACTAGCCGCCCTGGACAAGAGGATCAAAAGCTTCAATGTAGGACCAAACCCTTACACATGGTTTACCATGGATGCTCTAGAGGAGACCTGGAAAAACCTACAGAAAATCATCAAGGTAATTCTGATTAGTAATGTTAATGTACAGAAAGTAAATAGGACTATGTTACATTCTCATTAATGTTATTGATGAGTTAGTCAGAAAGATGGCTATTATTGATGGGTTAGACAGAAAGATGGCTATTATTGATGGGTTAGACAGAAAGATGGCTATTATTGATGGGTTACACAGAAAGATTGGCTTCTTTGTGTCTGTTAGTAGCAACATAGAAAGACTTCCTGTTGTTTTTGGTAGCAGTAGTATGGGATGGCTTCCTTTATCCGTGGCAGTGTAGGATTAGTCAGACATGTAGGAAGATTTTCTGTAATGTTACAGGCATGTGAAATATATTTGAGTCTGTGACTGATTTAGGTCTGACATGAACCTTTTAGAGGTTATAGAGTTAGAATGAATATTATCTGATTTGACATGTTTACAGGAGAGAGATGTAGACCTAGGTAATGAACAGCAGCGCCAGGAGGAGAATGACCAGCTCCGTAAACAGTTTGCCCAAGCTGCCAACGCCTTCCACTCCTGGCTTACAGAGACACGGTATGTATCACACAAATCAGACATCCATTTTGTTTCTTCATGCCATTTTAGTTTGGGATTTTATTTGTTTAGAAAATTTTATCTTTTTGAGTCTTTTTTCTGTTTATTCAGAATTTGTTTTTTTTTCAAAAAAATTAATGAAAATTAGGAAACTGCAGAAAATGCATAAATTTTTGGATGGGATCACTTTGGAACTAATCGCTGTGATCTGTATATGATCATAGCTCATGAAATTGTAACTGCTCTTTGTTTAAACAAAGATGGAATATGGTACACCATCTTTTACAAATCACGGAGAATGTTTTGGGTAAAAAAAAAACATAAAGTAGATGCTTCAGTCTCGGTTGTTCTGAGAGATATTTCTTTGTGAATGGTCTATCTTATCGGAAAATCATTTTATTTTTATTATATATAGATAGACAAAACTATTTAGTTTGTATGTATTCTATATATGTCTTTTACATTTCTCTTCTGTTTCTATATTATATCTATATTATCATTTTATTCTGAAATGTTTTTGGTTCTTGTACACTTTATAGAATAGAATATATGCCTTTTGCGGAAGTAAAACTACTACATACTAGATTGAGTACAATTTTATAGTAATGCTACACACCTAGACATAGCTACACATTTGTACTACAAAGTAGATAGGGAACAAAGTATATATATGCAGTATATTCAATATTCTTATTAAATTCTTTTAGCCTGTATATATAAATCTTATCAATGATCATGTTTAACTCTTTTCCTGCTGTGTAAATATCTCCTTTTTGCCTTTCACAAAGTAATATTTGGAATTTTCAATTTCGGTATATAAGATTTATCTATATTTTCTGAACTGTTTCACCTCCGTTAATAATGTAGAACCCTGCCAGCTGGCAGACAGATAGTGGAGGTAACTACCGACGGCAGGCAGAGAGTTCGTTCCACTTTATAAAACAATACTTTTTTAAGATTTTTGATTGATTGATGGTTTTTCTTTCATATCGCGTTGTGTATCCTCGTACATACAAACTCGTTTCCCGTTGATGATTCTGTTTCTCATCAGTCTTTGGCTACTGGACGGGTTACTATTTTATTTCCCTTCTTGCATGATATGCATCCTTGTTTCTGTACGAGTTTGCTTTTTCTCCATTTTTGATTTTTCTGTTTTTCTTTGTGTTTTGTGAAATAGTTTTTACATTAAATAAAATGGTGATCTTTATATTCAATATTTGCTTCTGAAAAATGTTAGTGGTAATAATTTTGGCTGGAAGATTTAGACAAAAAATGGATACGTTAATTTATTGTGGATCCTTCATTGAAAGAAATATATCAGATTATTACATATTTTCACTTTGATACAGACTTGTTCCATTTATATCAGGCTTCATTTTCCAATTGGATGCCGCTGTGTCCTTCAAACGAATGACACAGTAAATTTAAAACAAATATATATTCTATTTTGGGTCAACTTTTGAGGGGTCAGATTTCCTGGCTAGATTCCTTTACTGGTTGTTTCACACCTTATTGCTTACCCTGATGTGATTTCAATTTGACAAAGAGATGTGCAGGGTCATGTTAGAAAAAGAAACCCCTTTGAATTATTGTTTAGTTATGCCCTTGCGTACTGCATGACTTTCTCTAGGGTACACGTTTTTCCTTGCTCTCCTCTTACTAATACTATTTTCTGAAGCACAGGCTGTTCTTGAATACAAACTACGAAAAAAATGTCTTACTAATCTGGTCAGCAGTTCCTCTAATATTGGGATTGGGGTGGGAATGCATGGTGTTTTACCATCTTCATTTCAGATAATATAGGGAGATTGTATATGTGGTGATAGTTGAAATTGTTTATATTTGTAAAATCCCAGATGTTGTAACTAAAAACAGCTTCATGCACATTTGGTAATAACTTGAATATTTTTGTGGAATTTCTGGTCTTGAAATGCATGATTAAAAAGTTTATAATAATGAATATTGTGATTAGTGGAGTGGACAAAACCTACTAAATTATTCTACCTTTTGGGAAAAGAAAATTATAATTATAAACATTTCTGTTTCTGGTTGAAGAGTAAATATATAAGTTGTAGATTAGTCTTGGGTAAGGAAAGAATTGGTGAATATTTCTTTGACTTTTACAAAACAAACCTGTTTTTACCCTTACTCTCATTCTCTTCTACAAGAATTAATATGATGTCCCTAACTTGAGATTTCTCTGAGATCCTATTGTGTTTAGTCTATGATACTATTACTGTGATATCCACTGTGCTCATTAGTGTCTGTATCTACAGGGCAGCCATGATGGAGGGATCAGGTACACTAGAAGATCAGCTGGAGGCCACCAAGGTAAGGAGTGTTTGATTACCAGAGCTGTTTTCATTAAGCAGATTGACCCGATTGACCAGGGTTATTTGTTAATGATAAAAAGACAAATTTACTAATCTTATTTCACTTTCTGACGAGCCTTAACTAGACTTATTGAGACCTTATTTTGCCTGAAATGTTACATCGAGAGTGCCAACAAACCACTTTGTCTGCATAAACCATCTGCATCCAGGTGAAACATTACCTTATCCAAATACCTCGACTGTGTTGAGTCATTGTTGATTTACTATGACAACATATATAGATATCTGATTTAGTACTGAGTAATCAACATTTAAATTATCAGTGTTTTGTTGAATCCTTGTCTTCAAAGTTATTTTCATGGTGCACAATTTTCTTGGATTTTCAAGAAAAAGGATTTTGGTGAACACTTAATTTTGTGAATAGATAAAGCCCAGTAAATCTTCTTATACCAATTCTCAAATAAATACTCCACAAAAATTAATAGTTTTTCAGTAATTACATACTGCTGTAAGTGGTATTTAATTGACAACTATTGCAAAATATCAGTGATAATGTTAGACTTGACTTTATTTATTCAGAAAAAGGCGACTGAGGTGCGAGCCCAGAAGGGCCAGTTGAAGAGAATAGAGGACTTAGGAGCTGCTATGGAGGAGCGATTGATCTTAGACAACAGATACACAGAGCATAGCACAGTAGGCTTGGCCCAGCAGTGGGATCAGCTTGACCAACTCGGCATGAGGATGCAGCACAACCTTGATCAGCAAATCCAAGCTAGGTCTGTCTCACTCCACAGCTAAGTCACAGTCCAGTTACACTCCACCACTAGGTTACACTTCAGTCTTGTCCACAGCTAAGTCACAGTCCAGAAACACTCTACAGCTAGGTCACTCTCCAGTAACACTCCACCACTAGGTTGCACTCCATAACTGAGTCATACTTCAGTCACACTCCACAAGTACTTTAGACTTCAGATATCTAAATGTAATAAGATATCTCTTAAGTATATAGAGATATCTATGGTATATTGAGATATCTATAAGTTTAGAGAGATATTTAAAAAGTATGATATGATATTTGTAAGTGTAATGAAATATCTGTGGTATATTGAGATATCTTTGTTAAGTGTATTTGTAATGAAATATTTATGGTATATTGAGATATCTTTAAGTTAAGTGTATTTGCAATGAAAAATCTGTGGTATTTTGAGATATCTTAGTGTGATGAAATATCTGGAAGTGTAATTTTCTGTGAGAAACTCAGTGTAACACAGTTAGGTCAGTGTGATAACTTATTATTATCTGATGTTTACAGAAACAGAAGTGGTGTATCAGAAGATGCTCTGAGGGAGTTCAGCATGATGTTCAAGTGAGTATAATATTAAGTATGATGTGATCAGAAAATAAGTGACCTTTTTGAAATAAATTGATGAGAAAAAGTAAATATTGGAGCATCTAATATAGTTAATGACTGAATTGGAGTCATAGTAAGACTTTTGTATAATTGGTTTTCAGTGTCTATAGACATTTTGACAAATAAGAATCAGAATCTGAAACCACTATAGATTATGGACTGTATGATGGTTTTCCTTTTTTACTACAGACATTTTGACAAGGATAAGTCTGGTAAACTGGACCACCAGGAGTTTAAATCTTGTCTTCGAGCCCTGGGGTATGACCTGCCGGTAGTGGAGGAGGGTGAAGTAGATCCCGAGTTCCAGGCCATTCTAGATATGGTTGATCCTAACAGGTAAGTCCACCACTACAATTAGAATCATCTCATTTTATTATCACTAACTCATCAGATATTGACAACCTATGTGAAGGTCTTTTTAATATACTTAAACCAGAATTTAGTTAGATGTATGGTCACGTTAAATTGTTTGGACTCACAATACATACAACTAGTCTCTGATACCCCAGGAACAGCAGGTGTAGTCTGTGATCAGGCTCAGCTATATGTCAATATAGTGACTTGACCAGTTTTAGACTACACAGTGTGATTACCCACTGTCACATAATGCCTTCAGGACGAGTTGACAGCTTGACATAAACTACCTTATTAAGAGATGTGATCTTGTCTACTTCATTCACAACATTACTGTTATGATTAGACAGTTTTCGGTATTAACTTTGTGTTTTTGTGCCAACAGAGATGGACAAGTGTCTCTACAGGAATACATGGCATTTATGATCAGTCGTGAGACAGAGAACGTCCAATCTAGCTCGGAGGTAGAGCAGGCCTTCCGAGCTTTAACATCTGGAGACAAAGCGTACATCACAGCACAGGAGTTGTATGCCGTGAGTATGAACAGAAAAACAAAGACATTTTCCTATAGCCTTATGTTTGATGTGTCTTCAATAAGTTTAATATTTACACTAGTCGCAAATCAGACCAAAAACAATGTGATCCTTTTGAGTATTTTAAAGTCCTAAAACTAGCAGTCATGACTACTTAGCCAGGAATCAGATTATTGTTTTTACATCCTCACTTATTTTGATAATAAAACCGTTCATTATATATATAAAACCGTTTAAATGGAGTCACAGTTCAAGTGAGTGTTCAAGTTTTATTGTTTGTTTGTATTTTTTCAAGTACCCATTAATCTAAGACCATGCACTGTGGCTAATGACACCTATATTCTGCCTTACAGAACCTGACCAAGGAGCAAGCTGACTACTGTATAGCCAGAATGAAGCCGTATGTGGACAAGACGGGTCGTGAGGTTGTCGACAGCTATGATTATGCTGACTTTACGCGCTCCATGTTTGTGAATTAAATGGAGAGGGACTCACCACAGGGATCTGTAGGGCTGTAGTCTAACCCCCTGAATAGTACTTCCTGTGTATCGTGTATGTTATAAGCCAACTTCCGTCTTGTACCTGTTAATCTTCACCTCTACTGCACTGCCGCCAAGAGGAGATAACTCACTTTTCTAGTGACATGTTTATGAATTACATCTATCAGTTTGTCTTTCTAGACTTTTTTGACCAAGTCTTATTAACTGTATAGACATAAGTTACAGATGTTGTTTGTACAATGTTAACTATCAAATCACCATACTCACATCATTGGGTTTGTGTTGTACTACTCTGAACATCGTCACAAAACTCGCTCCCAAACATGGAGTCTTTACGGAGACATTGAATTAAGGACTTTCACTTTGAAACATTAATAATGTTACGGAAAATTATCTTAAAATATTTGCGAAGGAATATTGAAAATTATTTTTGCTTTAGCTTTCTGCACCAATTTTTTCCTTTTTTTGAAAATAAAATTATTGTACATGTATATTACGGCCTTATGCTTGCTTTAAGAAATTCAGGAGAGAAAGATGACATTTTGAATAGCCATTGAAGTATATTGTGGGTAAGACACAGCCTGCTGGTCTGCTTGGCCAAAGTCTGTTGTTAGATCTGTCTTCATATTATTTGTGTATAATAAAACCTTCCATAGATACGGATGTGTTCTTTATGATTTATATACAGGAGTGACATGTGTTGTCAACTTACTCTCTTGTGATGAAGAGTTGTGACAGCAAGACAATGGTATTATTTTGGTATATACATATACCTGTAGTTAAATCTATGGCGGACACCTCAATGCATCCATCATTTACAAAATATTTTCCAGATTTTATGCTTCAACGATTCTGAAAATTAGGGACGCTGAGAGACTGGACTACATTTAGCTCACCATTAAGTACAACTGCTTTTCTAATCAGTCTTTGAATATAGATGCATCGAAGTAGGGATATCAAAAAAATGAGATTTTATATGATCCCTGAAATTTTGGAGGAGCATAAAGTCACTATCTTGTCTGCCTCTCCCTCTGTCCTTTCTTTCGTGTCCTGAGCATAATGTTGCTCAATATGAAGCAAGGATCAGGACATTTCGTGTATACATAGCTCATACGAAGGGGATGTGGAAGCTACAAAATTCAGAGCCCTGGACCTCTTCATAACAGAGTTACTGCCCTTTGTTAAAATTTGTGTCTGGAGCATAGCTTTGCCTGCATTTAACCTAGGATAATGAAACTTTGTGTATACATGTATCATACTAAGATGATGTTCATTGTACCTAATTCGGGGCCTGCAACCCTTTGATTACAGAGTTATTTCCCTTTGTTAAAATTTTGAGTCTGTTGCATTTCTTTGCCTGTATTCAAATGAGAAAATTGGAACGTGATTTATACATCAGTCATACAAAAGCAATATGTAGTGTGGCAAAATCGGCGCCCATGACCCTGTAGTTACAGGGTTATTGCCCATTGTTAAAATTTTATGTCATGAGCATAGGTTTGCTTACATTAAGAGTAGGATAACGAAACTTGGTGTATACATTTGTCACACTAAGAAAATAAGCAGTATATTAAAGTCCAGGTCTGCAACCGTTTAATTACATAATTATTGCCCTTTTTTAAGATTTTGTGTCCATTAAAGTGCTTTGGGGGAACATCACTTTCACTGATACTCTTGGGTTTTGTTGTTTTTTTTCAAATGGTTGCTTTTTTTCTATTCACTGTAGATTTATTTTATAGTTATATTGAAACAACTACTTTAAAATGTCAGATGAGCTTTCTTTCACTTCTAGTAGAAAAGACATTCAATAAAATAATATTTTGAAAACTGAAGAACTTATAAAAGTGTTCTTTTAATATTTTACACTGCATCAATATTCAAACATAAAGATGGCACTGGTTTTCTGTTAATTAACTGATCAGTTCACTTGGAAGTTCAATTTATTATGGGAAAAAACCCAGATTTTTGTGTATTTTACAGTTAGCTTAAAGATATAAAATCAAAGCTGGACAGATGCGACATGTACGTTTGCATAATTCTCTTAAACAGTGCATCGGTTTCCAAAGTAAGATTTCTTTGCCAGGGCATTGGTCTCCAAAGTAAGATTTCCTTGTCATAGCCTAGATGCATTGAGGATTCCCTGTCGGAACTATTCAGTACATAGCACAATTTAATGTCTTGTCACCAATGTCAGGCGTCGTTATAACATTGTATATATAGAAATCCAGAAAGGTTAAAGAGAAAAACGAAATCGCTTTATTCTATTGAGGGTGATCTTTGGGAAAGATGATTAAATTGGCAATCAGGAAACAGGTCTGGTGAATATTTGATTTGGAGTAACATTATCCCACTCCACACCCATGATAATGAAAACATAAATAGCAACGAGAGGATAGGAACATTCATGTCGCACTGAACTAGATTATATTGGTCCTCGTAGGGATCCAGAAGATGGAAACACTCATGTCACACTGGAATAGATTTTATTGTTTTTTATTGGAAACTGGAGGGCAGGAGCATCCATGTCACAATAAATTTGATTTTATTAATCCTCATCAGGAACCAGAAGTTGGGAACATCCATGTCACATTGAAAACGATTCTATTAGTTCTCAATGGGAACAAGAGGAAGGAAACTTCCATGTCGAACTGGCTACTGCTCTGTTGATTTAATCTCTGACCATGTTCTTTACCACTGATTGCAAGGAAAACTTCCGAAAAGATTTCCGAAGAAACACATCCCTAAATGAGTTATCATTGCTGTGTCTGGTGGCAAAGATAAGAAAATCGTTGTGAATTCTTGTTGGGCACGAAATAGTTAACCGTTGATGTTAATCGATACGCAAGTAACAAAGTCTCGTTATCCTACAGCGAAAATGGCGCAAACGTCAAACAAGTATAGTTAAAACATCTTACAGGGAAAATAACACTAACAATGTAAATATGACAGCACGTGAAGTCATTCTAGAATGAAAATAGTCCAAACAATGTAAATATGACAGTCAGTGAAGTCATCAAACCGAGAAAAATCACGGGTCCTAACTTTAAACATTATAGTCCGAAATGTGCTGACTATCTGCAATTTCAATTATTGTCTTGATTATGGTCGACTACCCTAATAGAAAATAGTAAAGACATCTTGAAATTGCAGTGGAATATAATTTTGCTTAAATGAAGGAACATGTAAATTACAAAAAACAACAAATGTATAGTGGAGAGAACATTTTATCGTTATGCACATTTCCATATGGGATTTGTGTCTGCTATTTCAGTACGAGTTTGGCCGGTTGTTTCACAAATCAGTTTTTGACAATCCCTACATATTCGTCTGTTTCCAAACATCCAAACCAGACTTTGATACAGGCATTGCTACTGATAATTGATTTACTAGACTGTCGATTAGTAAAACATATTATGCAAAATAGTTCAATCTGAAACGTAGAACAAATGGGGATGGGAAAATTACCAATTTACAATCAATGAATGCATGTTAAAATCGTCCTTCCTCCGTCATCGTCGTCCACTCTTGCATCATGAATTTTTGACATTCACAAAATTCCTAGTTACGTTCTCATGGACCGTCGTCTTACCTTTTTCAATTTTTAGACACGTGCCCATCTTGGATTTTGACGTTGTAATTTGTTATCACTATTTTTTTCTGGCCAAATACTGGATGGATGGCTCTCAGTTTTCATATACATTTGTATGGTTTCCCTAATTTCTAGCTGTAGGTTGGCCAAGTCTGATCAAACAAACACAAATAAGCCTTGAGAACTTGTGGACGAATCCTTTCCAAATAGTTATTTCCCTTGATCTCTAGTTCTGTTGTGTGTATTTCAACTTAGACTATTGGGACTAATCGCGTAAGAAATAAGAATAAAATTTAAAAAAAAAAAAAAAAAAGAAAAAGACAGCTGGTGCCATGTCAGATTTTAATATTTTATAATAATGATATATATATAATATTATAGAGTGCGCTAATTAATATGTATTAAGCACTAACAAACATATTTACATAATTTATATAGCGTTTCAATACTGCCTGATTTTGAACTGTTTGTATCGGCTCTGAGTTGATAGAAAGTATATATAATTTCTTTTTCTCTTCTGTTCTTTCTATCTTCTCATCTTTTCCTCCTTTTGTTAAAATGATTTAAACTTACTTGCCGTATACAAATTATTTGCAATTTTGTTTGTGGTGAAGAGTTCATTAGTTAGAAGAACTTGTCTATGATCCATTTATCTGCTACTGGTAATAAAATATGTTTAAATTAAATCATTTATGTAGCGCACAAACAATTGATTAGCGCACTAATGAATATATACATTAACATAGCGCAGTAATGTTTATTAGTGTACTTACTAATAGTTCAACATTTCTAAAGCGCACTGACTGATCTGTACATACAGCATTTGCATAGCACACTAATATTTTACTAATTTCGCGGCTAAGCATATAACACGAACAGTAATGTTCCCCTATACACCTGTAGGTAGAGTACCATAGTGGCCCCAGTACGGGAGTTAAGAATTCTGCCTCCGATATGCCAGATATGGTGACAAGTTACTGAGTGTGTGAAAGTTCTATGTTGCCTCTAGTGCGAGAGGTACTCAACACAGGGAACTAATTGAATGAAAATGTATACCATTCCAACGCTTTCTTTTATATTCAAAGTTGATTTGGTCAATATATTCTCACAGGACGAGATTTTTCCAGCAAAAAAAAATAATTTGAAAAAGTAGTTTAAATCGAGGAATCGGTACATAAATGTTGGGCCCTGTGGTACTGTAATGTTCTGGACTTCCTGCAGGTGGCTAATTAATTAGAATATTGCACGTGCATGTAAAGTCATTCAAATACCCTAGTTAAAGCAAGAAGTAATAAATGAAAGCACAAAAGGCTTGCATGCACAATATATATTACATATGTAGAGAGAGAGAGCAGGGGGGATGGGGTGGGGTTGGGGAGAGAAGAGATAAACACCACAAGAGTTATGCATTATAAGCAGATGGTTAAGTGTCTGGAAATTTGTAAATGGAAGTGCTTTTGCTTAAGTTTTATGTTTGCAATCATTTCTTTTTTTTTTTTTTTTAATCCAGACAGAGAGAAAAAGATATGTTCTTATATAGATAACCAATGAAGTAATAGCGACAGTACGGACAAGTGAATTGTCAAATTTTCGAGTTAATCTACCGGATACAGGTACACTAGATCATTCAGTGTGATAGATAGAATCCAGCAATATCGACCAGTATTGGTAATGGATCCTAACAAACAAATGCTCGTTTGATGAATAGATATATGATCGATTAAGTGATAGCGAAAGTATGGACCAGTAAACTGTAAAATTTCCCGGGCAATCCTAAATATAAATCCCAACAAACAAGCATTTAAATTGGTGGTAAACCGTTCTCAAATTTAATTTGTAAGTTCCCCTTGGTCTTTAATTGTGTATACTGATTGAAAAAAAGGTGAAGTGGCCATATTGGGTTCTGTCAACATGATTTGGTATCGCTATTTCAGTTAAGTACTGAATGGATCATTTTGGGCTCTCGTCGGAATTTTCCACGTGGCATCTGCCAATGTGATCATCCACATTCCGTTTATTAACCAGTCATCATTGAAGTAATTAAATTAATGTTATGATTTACTCCAACTGCCAATGTGTGGACCAAACATTTCATACAATATTTATCGTTTCTCGTTGGTGATACCATGTTTTCTATGTCAGTGTATATATTTCGTGATAATGGCTCCTTTATCAAGTAAAATTTTAGTTACATGCCTTACTACGGTATTGGTTAATTATGGCGCGTGTCAGTGCGTGACTCATCGTTTCCCCGTGGGGAACCGCATACTGTAATTTGCCGAAGGTAACCGAGTACTTCCGGATTATAATGAGGAATCATCATGGCCGACCGGAAGTAGGCTGCTGTGCATCATCTCTAATTCTTTTCTTGAGTTTTTCGATAAAAACAAAGCCATGTATTCGCGCTGTGGCCCGGTAGATATTGTTATGTGTTAAGATGTTGGAGGTATGGCCATAGCACGTCAGGAAGGCCAGGTAAGTCGCTCACATCTAATTTGTAAATAGATACTAGTTTCATCCTCGTATCTGTCTGTTTCCCTCCGTCCATCTTCTCCCATCCTAAGTTTCGTCCATCATTACGATCGTCGATTATTGAACTTTGTGATTCGAATTGTTAACTATTTTTATGTAATATTACATGTTAATGACAGTATTGTTGTTTTGGTAAACAATAACCCAAACTGCGATATTCCTCGTTGTAATCTTTTCCAAACTAGATCTATTAATCTTTTTATTTAATTTTCTGCTGCTACAGCCAGCAGCCTAGCCCATTGCTGTACATCTTCTGTGATGTTAGATGGATACTTTTTATATGTAGATGAGAAACAAACTTACTTAAAACGCCGTTCCATTAAGTGATGGGAAACAAATACATTTATTAAAATCCGAGATATGTATTGGACACGTGCTCACATAACATGACATTCATGTTTACATGTTAAATAAAAAAATGTATGAAATACGTGGTGTAGCTGTACTGTACTATGGCGAGCAAAATGATTCAGAAGTGATAAGTTTCAGTCACGAGTCAAAATAAAACTTGTGTTTTAGACACTGATCATGTATTTTATTTATATAACGCCTATCATCATCACTTAGCAAATCCTCCTTTGGCCATATAGCATTTGACATCTGTCCAAGCAAGGGAGGTTACAAGTTTTTGTTGAACCAAGACAAACTGAAGACTCTGAATATTATTACTTGCTGTCCTTTTCTTGATCTTCATCAGCTGTAAATGAGCAATTAGGAAGTCACACTTCAGTATGATGGTGCAGTTAAAGGACCCATAGTACTTTCATCATACAAGATTAAAAAAATGGGAATGGGGTGGGGGCATTTCTTACTTTGAAGATTTATGGGTCTGTAACCCCTTCAAGGATTCCTCCAATGGTAATTTGAGGTCAAATTCAATTTTCCAGCCAGCAGAATGACCTCTAACATCTTGATTCCATAGGGACTTATTTATTCGATAGGAGTATGATTAGAAAATAAGTAATGAAGTTTTTGACATTGATGCTATTGAAAGCCTCATGTACACATCATTTGGAATACTTTCTTGATTCTGAAAGGTTCTTAGAAAATTTTGACTTGATCATCATGCAAAAATAGCATTAAACCATACTTAATCTGGAAGGTATCTATTGAGAGACAATTGGCTTGAAAATAAAAACAAATAAAAGGGAATAAAATGACTTTAGAGTCCCATAGGAATTACATATTAATTTTATATTAACTTACTGAGGCTGCATGGCCAAAAAAAAAAAGATTACCAGTCTGCATACTCTTACTCAGCATAAATATTTTTGTTGGAAAAAAGGTACAGGGTGTGGTTACAGGTAAAGAGCATTTCTGTATACTTTCATATTTTCATGTGTGTTGATGTGAATATCTTTATACAATTTATTTGTTCTGAGTGCAGTAAGTACTTGTCATTATAAACCCCAAGTTTGTTTCCTTTTAGAGGCGCCAACTTCTCACGCTCATAGTCAGTCTTAACAAAAGTGGAGCTATTGTTGTTACTTCCCAGGCTATTGTAAATGGTGACACTAAGTAGACTTGAGATGGTCTATCTGATCCTATAACAGTCATTGAGAAAGTTCTACACTTTGTTTCACAGGACATATTAGAATTTGTTGATTGTAGTATTACAAAAGTTGTCTCCCCTGATGTGGACCTGTGTACCTTTTTTTAAGAAAATTTCAGTTTACCATGTGCTTTGTGGGGTTAAGATTTATTATTAAAGTATCACACATTTAAAAAGCTGCATCTTACTTCTATACATTAAAATGTCTTGCAATACACTGCAAGATTCTTGCCACATACTATTGACATTTCATCTTTTTTAATCCCCTGTCGAAGAAACCGGAGGGGACTATAATATCTGTTGTTGTCTGATTCCTTCCATCCGAATGGTTTCCAGATGATAACTTGAGACAATGTTAGGTTAGTAGAAGACCTTGTATGTTTGGGGTCAAAAGGTCAACCACAAAGGTCACTCTTGCTAAAAATAGATTTTAGGTTTCCAGATGATAACTTGAATTAGGGATTGCTGATTAGGTTGAAACTTGAAACAATATTAGGTTAGTAGGAGACCTAGTGTGGGGTTGTGTTTAGGGTCAAAAGGTCAACCACAAAGGTCACTCTTGCTAAAACAGATTTTTGGTTTCCAGATGATAACTTGAATTAGGGATTGCTGATTAGGTTAAAACTTAACACAATATTAGGTAAGTAGGAGATATAGCATGGGATTGTGTTTGGAGTCAAAAAGTCAACTGCAAAGGTCACAGTTGCTAAAATATATATGTAAGATTCCATTCCATTTTAGGAGTGATTACTTCATGCTTAAGAAGACAGATTGAATTAATAATGATAAGATATTAAACGAAACATTTTCAGGGATAAGAAATGATCTTATTTTATCTATTTGTAAGATAAAAGCAAGTGATTAAAATTTTTTCTTGCTGAATCAAAAACTTGCTCACAAAACTTAAGTTCTTTTCATTTGTTTTCAATCACTAGAACTAGGAATAGCTACTGTGAAGAACATGCTATAGGACGGTACCATGGGCTTGTGGTATACTTATTCTATAGCATGTCTGTGAGTAGGAAAATGAGTTGTATGAAAAATACCTTTCAGAACTTCTTAGTGAGGAGCTCACAAGTGTCAGTATAATATTTATTTTTTTTTTAAAGATGCCTTTTGTTTGTACAAAATCATTTTAAAAAATAGAAAGTAGTCCTTAGTAGAGATATGATTAGTGGGTATCGGAAAGTAAAAAACAAGAAAGCACAAACAAAAATACAATATTTTAAGTATTATTAATTTTTTTTTAAAGATGCCTTTTGTTTGTACAAAATCATTTTAAAAAATCAAAACTAGTCCTTAGTAGAGATATGATTAGTGGGTATCGGAAAGTAAAAAACAAGAAAGCACAAACAAAAATACAATATTTTAAGCATTATTAAATTATTAAATATTACATAACTTAGGTAGTGTTACTCCACCTAAAAATTCATATCATTGATATTTATTCAAGGGTTAAACTACAGCCCAATACAACTTATCTGATTGTACTGTGATAGCATGCCTCAGTATGGTTTCAAGTTTATTGTCCGTTTATCACACTGATAGATTGTATCAATTATAGATATACATTTCCCCTTATCATAATACATGTGTATAACCACCTACACCAGGGAACAAATTCTGATGGTCTAATTTACTGATGTAGGATGTAACTGTTGTAAGGTCAGCCATCATTGACCACTATTAAATTGGTCGTCTGTGGTCACTACAGCAGTTGGACCAGTCACTAGATGTACTAGAGAATGTCATGTTTGTAAGTTGTGACCATACCTTTACATGATACAAGTGTTTTGTTCACAACCCTACCTCACAACCCTACCCCACCCTTTCTCAACAACCTTACCTTACAACCCTACCCAACCCCTTCTCTACAACCCTGCCTTACAACCCTACCCCACCCTTTCTCTACAACCCTACCTTACAACACCATCTCCTTTCCTAGCCCCTACTCCACATCTCTACCCCATACCCCTACCATACAACCCTAATAAGGATGTTGGTTCAAGTATCTTTTTCACAACCCTTATACACCCCCTACTCCACAACCCTACCCCATAACCTACCCTAAAACCAATCCCACAACCCTAGCCATCCATACCCGACATCCCTACCCCACCCTCTACCCCATCTCATACACAACAACCCTACCTCACCCATTACTCTACCCTATACTTTCCAACCCTACCTCACATTCCTACCCTTCAACACTACCCCACAATCCTTCCCCACCCCAAAACCCTCATCCCTATCCGACAACATTACCCCTTTTCCATTGATTTGAATTAACTGAGATATAGTCATGATTTTTAAGTTATTCGGTGTGAATATTTATAAGGTCACCATTGGACTTTGTCTTAGGGTGACCTGTTACGATCCCCTTTTGTCCGGCATCGTGTATCATAAACTTTTAACTTTTTCTACTTCTCCTGGAAATCTCCTGAACCAATTTCAATGTCCATGGCTTAAGGCGCACCAAAATTGTAAATTATATTGTCCCAAACCTCCAGGGGCCTGAGGGGTGGGGCCAAAGTTCATTGAAAATTGAAATAGTTTCTTCTTAAATCCCAGGTAAGATAAAATCAAGTATTCTTCATGGATGGAAAGGCCTTCAGATGCTTTACCAAAATTGTAAATTTCTTGACCCAAGGGTCTCACATTTCCCCCAGGGGAGGGCTAAAAGTGTACTATAGTTTATATAGGACAACTAGATTTTTTAGCTTAATTTGTTTAATTCCACTGGAAATATTTCAAACTTTGTTAGAATTACTAGTGAGGGATGATGGCTTGATGGTATGCCCATATTGATTCTGGTTAACCTCCAGGGGCTGTTGGGTGGGTGAAATTGATTATGATTTCTAAAATCTTCTTCTCAACACCCAGATAGGATAGAATCCAATGCTTTTCATGGATGGAAGCATCTTAAGGTGCTTTATTAAAAATGTAAAATTTCATAGCCAGAGGGTTCACATTTCTCCAGGTGAGGGAGGTAAGGTTTACTATAGTTTATATAGGAAAGGTATATTTTTGAGCATAATTTGTTTAATTTCCATTGGAAATATTTCACATTTGGTTTGAATTATGAGCTATAGCTTGATGGTATGCCCATATTGATCCTGACTGACCCCCAGTGACTCAGATGGGCAGGGCCAAAAGGAGTTAGATTGACTTTAATTTCAAAAATCTTCTTCTCAACACAAAGGTATGGTAGAATCAAAGGCTCTGTATGAATGGAAAGCACCTTTAGTTACCAAAGTGGGTCTCACATTTCTTCCGGGAGAGGAAATGTCTCTTTTAACCTTTACTGTATTTATAGAAAAATTGCATTTTTGAGCATAATGTTTATTTTCTACTGGAAATAACTTTGTAAGAATTATCAGTAAAGGATGAC